GGTTCTCGGCCGTGTCGTTCATGGGCACCGCGACCGAGCGGGAAAATAAGCTTCACCCGACGGACGGGTCGAAATCGTAGGGAAAACGACGACCGGAATGCTGCCGTGCTTAGGAAGAACGCCGTATGAGCCTTTCAGATGTTGCCAAATTTTCTTAAATAAAAACCGAATTTACAGGGAAAATTATGAATATTCCTTTCCGGTAATTTCAGGCAATTTCATACGTAGTTTAATCTAAAATATATGAAAATTTCAAGAAAAAATACGCATGAATGTCGTCAATAATACATGTTTTATCGGGGGAAATTTGGCAACTCTTGAATGTTCATACGCCGTTCTTCCTTAGCGCGGCAGTATAAGAGTAAATGAATATGCCTGTAGCAGTGTAGCATGCCCGGGTGACGAGGTGCCATTGAAATTTCAAGTTTTTTCTTGTAAGATTTTCACCTATCCTCAACAATGACCTCGCTGGGAAAATTGTGAATATTTTTTCTCAAAATTTTCAGACTATTTCGTACGCAGTTTAATCTAAAATAAGTGAAAATTTCAAGGAAAAATACGCATGAATGTCGTCAAAAATACATGTTTTATCGGGGGAAATTTGGTAACTCTCGAAGGTTCATACGGCGTTCTTCCTCAGCACGGCAGAATGTGAGTGTCCGCGGGAAAAGTGACCCCGGTTCGTGAAAACGAAATATCAGGGTTGCCACAGAAATCGGAAAACTGAATTCCCTGATTTCCCTGACACACTCTGGTGCGACTCCCTGACAATTGGATCGCGCATTCAGCAAAAAGGAGCCAGCGCGATTACAGTATTTACAGTGATGTAAAAATGTTGCGTCTTCATAATTATCCACAGAATCTCTTAGGATACTGCCGTGCTAAGGAAGAACGCCGTATGAATATTCGAGAGTTGCCAGATTTTCTTCGATAAAATGTTCATTTTTTAGAAAAGTTATACATATTTTTCCTTGAAATTTTTAGGAACTATAGATGAAATAATTGCGAAAAAAATTATCAGAAAAATGGGAGGAAAACATTTATAAATTTACCAGGAAATTCGTGTTTTATCAAAGGAAATTTGGCAACGCCTGAAGGTCCATACTGCATTTTTCCTTGGCAAGGCAAAATAGCAAAAATTTTTGCTTCTCACCAAAAAATTGTTCATTTTAAAGGGAAATAATTGTGCAAAGTTTAATAGGTACTGGACATGGATTAAGTATTTTTGAAAGAAACGAGGAATTTGCACGATTTTGAAAACACTGTAACAGGACCGGATTCACCTACTTGCCGCCCATGGGCCGCCTATATTTTGCCGCCCCCTTCTCATTCGTTTTGAAACTCGATAAAAACCATCAAATGAACGTGCCAGCGGGGGAGGGGTGCATAAGACGCATTCACTCGTGTTGGACACATATTTTGGGAAAGCCCTGTCAACACTGCCAACAAAAGTTCACGAAACTTTGCGCGAAAGTTGAGTTTCGTAAACCTATCTCTGTGTGGACAAGGCCTTCCATTCATAAGAAATGAACGAAACAATTATGAAAGAACAAACATAAATGTGGTTCAATGATTTTAACTTCCGCCGCCGCGCCGCGCAGACCGCACCGTGGCGGACGCAATGCGTGAAGTATTCACGCAGTCTTGTAGGCACTATGCGTTTCACGCTGACCGCACTGTTTGGCGCAATGCGTGAAGTATTCTTGCATTCTTGTAGGCGCTATCCGTTTCACGCTGACCGCAATGACCGCACTGTGTTTGATGCAATGCGCGAAGTATTCGTGCAGTCTTGTAGGCACTAATACGTGTTACATGCCGATCGCCGCGCCGAGGGCTTCTCCTTTTCATCTCAATTCCTCGTTATCATTTCTCTCTAAGTCAAGTTCTAGGCCAAATCGCGTGTTTGGTTTCTCTCATAACTCAACTTATTGAGGGTGCTGTCTCTTGTATCACTAAGAGAAAATTTTGCTGATTTTTTCTCAAATCTCGTATAAGAATCAGAAAAAATTTGGGGAAAAATTAACAGGTATATTATTCAAAAAAAATTAAATTGTTTTAAATCAATTTTGCAACGTTGGAACGGAGTTACCTTTTTTTCAATTAGGAAGCAACAAATTAGGTGACTAATATATTATGAGGGGCTGTATCCTGTCGGTTTGATAATGAATAACAAGAGATAGAACTACTAAAGAGGTAAAATTAGACTCATCGGAATTTTTACGTGTACCGAGGGACGCATTTTTAAAAAAATTTGATTTGTCAAAAAATTTGCAGATGATGAAAAAAAAACCTAAGGTCACTTTTGCATTCAAGAGCAAACCATTCTGAAGAAAGTGGTTTGCCTAATTTAGTTTTGTTGGTGGTGACTTGAATACAAAACTGAGATTTTTTTCGATTCATTATTTTTAAAATGAACATTCAATCGAACTGCGTTTAACAGAAAGGAACCAAGCAACATCACCTATTGCCAAATTTAACCTAGTAATTTAATTTTTTACTAAAGAACGTTTGTGCCGATTTATTTTGGAAAATTTTAGGGAATTTGCTTCTCACTATGCAGGAAATTCACTGAACAAAAATCCGCACGACTGTTTTCATGTAAAAAGTTATATTGCCCAATGACTCGTGATGTGGTTTGGTTCCTTTCTGCTTAACGCGGTTCAATTATGGTCAAACAGAGAAAACAGTGGATAGTGGACACCTGCAATTCATCAAGTCAAAGTATGATAGGTATCCAAATGAAATTTTTAAAAGTGCAAAGAGAATTTATTTTTCAAAAACTCATTTTCTTTACAAAACAAATTCATTTTACCAAAAAAAGTACCTTGACAATAGCCATTTTCCTGAATACAAGTAAAACTAATAAATTAAGTCTAAATAAATAAAACACATATGTACAACAATTCAAATAGTTTCAGTGTTGTCATCATCCCAGTACTTGACAATCAAAATGACATAATGCAAGAGATCAGATGACTCAGTGCGAAGTGGATAAAAACTATTAAAATTGAAATTATAAAGTTGATTTACACAAGAAAAGAGTGCCAACTGCTTCTACTTTGAGGGGTTGGGAAATTTTTACACGAGCTAATTTATTTAATTTTTCTTTTTCTTGTTCAAAGAAAAATAATTAAATTTCACAGGAAAATTTACAAAGGGAAAAGATACACAAATAGGTACACATTCGTTTTTCTTTGATTTGATTGATCTATTAAACTAAGTGTGAGTGGACAGAAGTTATATTTACAAAAGTTTAGATTTCATCATCGTCAGAGTAACGATCGACATAGCGGTAAGCAAGAGATCGGGTTGTGCATTGGCGCTGCGGGCGGTGTGAGAAACTTGAGGTCGATAGGTCAATTTGCATTTCTGATGAGTTTTCATCAATTTGATTTGGTGGAGAAAACCTGGCGGTCCTAGAAGTATTGATAAAAGTCAAATCATTAGTAAAGTCTCAAATTCACACTTGCTTTCTTGACATGACACACATCCACTTGCACACTATGAGGATCCAGAATAAGAAATTCCAGGGAGTCATTTTACCAGAAGCAAAATTCTACGGTTTATCTGATACTATCAACTTTTTTTTCAACTTGCAGGAAGAACATTAATGGAATGTTTTAACCAGAGGTTGAAGCGCATTTAGCAGAAGGGAACCAACACGATATTTGGGAAAATTGAGTTAACGGTAGATCTGAAGGAGCCTAATCATTTTCCCTAATTTAAAACAAGCATGTTCTTCAAACACAATTGATATAATCCCAATTTTCTTAAAGTTCGGGATGATTGGGCGTTCAGACTTCTTAGAAGTATGTCAACATCTCACTGGTTAGGTTTTGAAAGAAAAATTGCTATACTTTTGAGGTTAGAGGCAAGCAACATCTTTATCAAAACAGAGCGACAGTGTAAGTCGGTAATCACATAACTCATTCGCAGTGTCTGAAAATCTCCGCCTTTATGTTACTTTTTTAAAGGAGAACAAATTGACATCATTCCTTGAAGTTTATGCAGAATTTTCTTCGCACAGAGAAGAAAAAGCAGTTTCAAAGAATTGCCATTGAATAGTTTTCCGTTTAAAAAATAAAGTATGACAGGAAGTCTGCGACGTTGCAAACCGAGTTATGTGATTGCCGTCTTACACCATCGAGAGATGCAACTGTACATGTTCCCCTGTTGAAGGTCTAGCATACCTGGGGAACTGACGGTACTTTTTGGCGGTTTGAACCATGTTCCCACCTAAGTGAAAACGAAATTCACTGAAGGGATCCAGCTCGAGAGTCGAGTTGGTTTCCTTCTATAAATGTTACCATCTTGGCAGAAGCCAAGACCAAAATTTGAAAATATTTCGTTTGATTCATCCAAACATACAACCAAACCAGTCACATTAAGTACTTTTAATTGAATACATTGAATTAAGAATTAAATTATTTCAGTCTAAATAAGTCTCAAAATGTGCTGTAGTTGATGAAAAGCAAAATATTGGAAGTTTCAACCGATTTTTCAAGATTACGAGTGCTAAACCTGTTTACAGCTCATTACGGCTGAAAGTCCATTGATTTAGTTTGGCTGGAATTCATACATTCTCTGTGCATGTAGTTTGAAGATGTTTGAGTCACTTAAAAAAAGCAAAAAACAAAAACATTTTTTATTGACAAAAGAAAAAAATCGGAGAGCTTTTAGACTGACCTTGCGACACGCCTCTTCTTTTTTTGATTACCGATGTCTTCCATGTGTTGAGCCATTCTGAAAAATAAAAACTAGATTAGACAAAGAAATTCGAAGATTATAAGGAGGTTTTAGAGGAATTTTAACTGGTGAAAATAGCTGGAGAATGAGGATACAACATGAAATATCGACTGATTTGAATTAGAATTGAAAATTATCTTGAAAGTTTTAAGATCAACGCCTACCCAAGACGGTGATAGTTAATGCATTCTCGACTGGTTTTGCTATCTCCTTTAATCTTTCAGGTTACATTACTTAAATTGAAAGATATGAAAAGAAAATTACTTAAATGCTCATAGAATAACGCTGTCCTCTTTATAATTCGAAATTCATAGAGCCGAGGAATTTTTTCGAAAAATTAAGATTTTATATCAAAAAGAGTCGAAAATTAATTAGAAATAAGTGAATCTCAATTTAATGAAGGGTAAAAATTGGCCTGTATTTTTTCACTGCCTTTTTTTAAACTATACTTACATACTTCACTTATTCACATTATTTTGCCTTAACTTTGGGACACAATTTCAACAAAAAATACTATTCTTTCATGCTAGCAAAAATCAGCTGGTCTAGTGTTCACATGCAGCTTTCCTGAATTTCTGAATGTGCTGACATTTGTAGCGTATTCAAATACCTACAAATCTTTCCAGTGTAAATAGATAACTCCAAATTGCAGAATAAATTTTCCGCTTAACTTTGAATTATTAGAGGTGCTGCAACTGACTCGAAAATTTTGATTGGCTGAGGGAACCAAGTACATTTGTAGCATTTACATTTAAGAGGGCTTTCATGAGGAATTGGCTTTTCCTTGGAATTAGAGGTTTTTAAATTATTCAGGAAGGACTGAGGTATTCCATCAATTTTGGAAAAACAAAATTAAGAGAACTGTTACTTTATGGAAAATATCAGTCAGTTTTTTGGACTGAAACCTCGAACTACTCACAGTAGTTTTAAAATTCATATTTTTGAACAAACATTGAATATTGAACTGAGTCAATTTTTTGTTTCTTGTGGAGCATTGTTGTTATCCACTGTATCATAGCAAATTATCAAGCTGAAAAGCAAAAACTTATTTTCAATTTTTATCACAAAATGAATGGAACCAACACAACACCACAAAAGCCAAGCTTAATATGTCACAACCAGTTTCTTGAACTATTGGAGTCAAAGAAATCTCACCAAGAACCAAGTGATGAAAAATTATTGGAAATGCTAAATAATAAAATACGAGAATAGTAAGAACAATGGTGATGTCTAAGAGCGAGGGGAAAATATTATAATAGGTGAGACTGATGGTGCACTCCATAGATCCTTGAAAAATAAAAAACGAGATACAGAGAAGAGAAGAGAGCTATCAGCTGGTAATGCAAATAGGTGAGGAGAAAAATATTTAGTTTGCAAAAGCTTAATTTTCTTAGTGATGTTTCAAATTCAGAAAAACTTGCATCTTAATGTCTCTCATAAAAAATCCATGCTTTTACTGATTAATCAGCTAATAACTTCAAAAATTATATGTGTACTAAGACGAAATTAGACCAGAAATATATTCATTACATATTTCCAGTTGCTAAAATGAAACAAACAGTTAACAGGTCTGCTCATTGCTATTCCTTCTTACAAAGAGTACATCAGTTCAAATACAAATACAGACCTCCGACAAACTTTCTTCTTTGAGAAACAAAGTTGAAGTGGTACTTTCAGTTTTAAAGCGAACTTCCAGCTTGAAAAATTATGGTACGGAAAAAGGTAGTAGAGGAAATTTTTAAACGCTAACTACGTACTCTCAGATAAAACAATAAAAATTTTTTTTAAAAAAAAAAGCAAATTCTTCATTTGTAGAGAAAGACTCCGTTGACCGTAGACCGTTACTCCAAAAATATACTCAGCGACTATATGAGAAGCATTTGTTTTAAGGTGCATCATTTAGAAACTTCTTCCTCCACCTTTATTCACACCAGAAAAAGTGGCAAAAGGTATGGAATGAAAGCTATGTGCACAGAGGTAGCTTTTAAAGTGGAAGAATCTTGATGATGAAAGTGTGAAAAACAAAAAATTCCCACACTTTCTTAACTCCATGGCTGTTGTTCATGATTTCATAGCAGAAAATGAAAGTCTAAATATGAGAAGAGCGCATAATGTTAAATTAAGTAAGGTGAGGAACAAAGTTCACCCAAACAAGGATACAGTAATACCTTGGTTATCTCCTCAGAACTTACATGGCACTTCAGTTATTCAGAGCGACAATGAGGGATGTTTACGCAATATTTTTCTTCTTTTTACTTTATTTTTTTTTGTTTGAATCCATACATATCTTATGTTTTTATACATTTCGATTATACGGCTTTTTTAGTATCCAGTTCAAATTTCCACCACAGTTCATCAAATAATCAAGATATTACTGTATGAAAAAGAAAAATCAAAAAGCGTCAAAGGTTGCCGAACTAAAAAAATTAGTCAAGTTCAATTTGACGAAAAGAAAAAAAAAAGGTCATATGGATGTAGATAGAATTCAATTGAATGACTTTTGAGTTCATCTTCGCAAAGAAAGAAAAAAGAAATTTAAAATCATGGGAGATGTCTATATCCATCAGTTCTGAAAACATAACTTGAGAGTAATTGAAACTAAAATTAAAGAGTTGTTTGACGAACACCTCTTCAACTTTAGTAGATTATTTTCTAAGTTCAATACCTTAAAATCAGAACTATTGATAAAGACTTAGAATTGTCAATCTGGTAGCACCCATCACCTTGGAAATCACGAGGAAGAGCGAATGATTAGCTGTACACACACCGATAAGAATGGCATTAGTGTATTACTACGAGGAAAAAATATAAACAAGTAAATGGCACATCAAAAACCAGCTGCAAAACTCAACGCAAACTCAATTGAAATACTACGTACTGATCAGGTAGGAATGCCGAAAGCTTCGCGTTAGTTTAGAATTGACGACACCTAATTTAATAGCTGTAAAACAGGAACAGGGAAAAAACAGAAACAAAAATGAATGGTAAAATTAAAATAAACTGAAATCAAAAACAAAATTAAAATAAAAACAAAAAATTAAACAAAAAACAAAACAACTAGTTCAACTAAGAATGTCAAACTGTCAATATAAAATATTCAAGAGGGAGGACAGTTAAAAACTAGCGTGAAACTTGATGTGCATACAATAGATACAACAGAGATATCCGTTATAGCTGGACATTACTTCATGGAGAAAACTAATTTAAGTATGTAAATCCTTAAAGGTTTGAGGGTCAGTTGTTAATCACATATCTACGTGCATATTCCCAACATTCAATTTTTATCTCAATAGCTCTCTGCAAAATGTATATATATATTGGCTGATGCATGCACTTGTAGATTAGCCAAATGTAAAAATGAAAATGGATCCTAGGTCTTTGTATAACAGGTAATTTTACAAATAAGAGCATTTATGTGACAGATAGAGATGTTCCCTGACAAAATCACATTTATTTCTTTTTGCAGTGCATGCACCAATGAGGATAATTTCAGAAATAAAATAAAATTAAGATGAAGGAAAATTTAGTGACATACAGGTATAGAGAGTGGTTCTTCCAAGTAGGGAATCAAAATTAACCAAAATAAAGAAAGGAAAAAAAAGAAGAAAAAAAAACATGAATAACACAGGTATTGGGAATTAAAAATATGGAACATGTTCCCTGGATAATGGCAAATATTTGGAGAAACGCTAACATCATGAGACAAAAAAACTCATGCTACCAATTACATTTTTAATAGGTCAAATTCCTTACAGTAAGTTTGACCCACAAAATCGATTTCAATGGGGACACAAATTAAAAGACATACTATAAAATTGAGATCAAATGTGTCTCAGAACAGGGAACATTGAAAATAAAATATGTGCAATTTTCAGCTATTTGCATTAGTGGGAAACATTTACTAATAGTGGACCACTAAACACTAACAAAACAACTGAATAGAGCATGAACTAAACTACACACAAGGGAATTTTGAAAACTGCGCATGACTGGGCACTCGGTACTTCTATGAAATTAAAATACATACCCTCCGTATTCATCATCAGAGCCGCCACCTTCCATATCTTCACCACCCTCTTCATCATCTGAAATTGATTAAGACGTGCAGAGAATTAGTATTGACATAAAAAAAGATACGACGCCATAATACTTCGGATCATAAAAATAGATGAAATCCTGAGGAGGTTATATGAGTTACGTCAAGTCTGTGGAGGACCTACTTTTTGAAAATATCGACGGACGATTTTTCACTTTGAATATTTGATAGGAAATTCCGTTGATTGGATTAATAAAGTGGATGATAATGATCGTTGACACTTTAAGACTCCTTTTCCAACAGGTGAACTACATTACATTAAAATAAGGATTAGTCAGAGTAAAACGCATTTTAGTTCTGAGGTATCGCAATGCTAAGGGAATTACCCACTAGGACAAATCAGTCAACGCAAAATATTTGCATCAGATTGATATTTAGCCACAATGCTGATCCTCTAGCATACAATTTGACGGTGTAAGTCGGCAACCACATGACTCGGTTTGCAACGTCGCAGACTTCCTGTCATACTTTATTTTTTAAAGGGAAAACTACTCAACGGCAATTGTTTAAAACTGCCGTGATTTTTCTTCTCTGTGCGAAGAAAATTCTGCAAAAACTTCAAGGAATGATGTCCATTTGTTCTCCTTTAAAAAAATAACATAGAGGCGGAGATTTTCAGACACCGCAAACGAGTTATGTGATTGCCGACTAACACCGTCCAATAGTCTTCCCCAGCACAGCACAATAGGTTCACTAAAACAATGGATCACTAGATGAGGTACGAATTTAGGCATTCTGATGCAAGTTTTAAAACCAGAATTTAACGTAGAACACGCATCGAAAATGACTGAAATCAACTCCTAACTAAGATATTAACGTTTTAATTTTACATTGGTTGCGGGACATTTAAACTGCCCGGTCATAAGAAAAGCAATACTCGTGAGTCAAATCACGCCCTACAACAGTTGTGGCAAACTTCTCAAATGAGCATTGTTCCTTTCCTACCCTTTATCGTTCAAAGAGTAAACAATATGCCATAGCTGAACCAAAGCGTCAAGATTGAGGTTGTCGTATTCCGTATTGCAGAGACTGCCACGGTAATGTTTAGTGTGCGATTTGACTCACATAGACCATTGAGTTTTCATGAGCGGGAGGTTTGAATTCACGGTCAAGAAACATTAAATATCTTGGTTAAGAGTTAATTTCAGTAATTTTTGTTGCTGGATTCGAGTTCTACATGAAATTTTGGTCGAGAAACATGTATTAGAATGCTTAACTTCGTACCTTGTCTAGTGGTCCATTGTATGGATGGATCCGAGCTCTCTATCTCGAGGCTGACAGTGTTTACCCCATGCACAACACACCGTTTTCATGAAATACATTAATATGTGAGTTTTGTTTCTTGTTAATAATACCTCGTAGGCAAATTTGATCTTAATCTCACATTCCATTGATTTTTTCAATAATCCTAAAATTGGAAATTCAACAGATACTGAGATCTTTTTTTCGCACACAGGTATAGCTGGAGGTGTACCTCAGATTGCGATGCTGTGAGGCTCCACTCATGATAAATCTTTTAAAAAAAAAACTGATCAAAAAATTCTATTGACTTTTTCTGTGAATTCCATTCACTCATTCTTATAAAATCACACAAAATTGTGAGGAGAAAGTTTGATTAATCATTCTTGAAGAATAAAATATAATTGGAGATTTGTAAACATTGCAATTGAGATAAACATTTTTCACATTTAACCATCGATAAGGTTTGAAGAAAAGTGTAACTGCCCCACTTGGAGGAGCCATAATTGTTTTTTCCTCATAATTGTCCTTGATCTCTAGCTTCCAGAAATTTCACTTTTAGGAGAGTTTTGTTTTCCACTGATAATTTCAGCTAGACACTGGTATAGAGCAGTTTTACCATATGAAATAACAGATAGTTGCAAATTACTTCTTTGGCCAGTAGAGAAAAAAATAGCAAGTAAGAATAGAATTAGGAGGCAAACTTACAGTTTTCTTTCTTTTTCCTTCCGTAAGCTCGTTTAGAAGTTTGAGGCATTTGGTCACTTTCTCCGTGCACTAAACTATTTCTGTACATTACCAATGGTTGCCAATCTTCTCCTCTGCTAGAGGGCATGCCAGCTGAAATGCGCCGATCTAAATACTGCAATCTGTAATTAAGATGATAAAAATAAATTCAGAGATTTAGAATCTTAATATCTCATGATTACTAAAAGAACAAACATTAAAAAATGGCTGATTACTTAATTTCGCAGACTTAAAAAAAAAATTAAAAATATGCACCAACATGTGCCTAGTGATAACAATTTTTACTTAGGTTCCGAATGATGGACTACTGGATAATATTAGAAATTATACATCACTAGGCATGCGTCTTCATCGAAATTTCACGCAAAAGACGGTGAGCACATAAAAAAATCCAGAAATTAAAGTCACTGGTAAGTAATTAGCACTTTCTGTATTTGATGTATTTGACCAAACGTTGCACTCAACAAGAAACCAAAATGTACTTGAGCCAGATCTGGCACAGATCTAATTTCAGTATGTATTGCAATGGCTTAATTTTCTTGGACTACTAAATGTTTCGTAACAGTTTTAGAAGTACATACCATGTCAGAGGAGAAAGGTTATTTAATAGAGCACAGTTCCATCAATGTGTCAAACGATACATTTGTTTTCAGTGACTGGTTTGAGTTATGTTGATTTCGGTTTCTCCCGAGATCAGGAGGTGTGAATCATCTGATACTTACGTAAAATATCAAAGCTGGTATCTCACACCAAAGTTAACTTTATACATTTGCAACATGTTCAATGGATACTGCGTATAATTTCGATGAGAGAACATGTTTTGTGGAATTTTAATTATTATCCTGTCTAATGGTTCATTCCAAAATTTCCTTTGAAAGTCTGATCATGCAATAAAAACTTCAAGCTTAAATAAGAGACAATTTTCCGGAACTTACACAATGCGTTTGTCCTGCTTCAGAAGCTTGTTGGTGAATTCTGTGAGGATTTCTAAGAAAGGTAAGTTTAGGGGTGGCCCAGTTGGATCATTTTCCTGTTCTAGGGTGCTGACAGCAAACAAAATCCCTTCTCTATGCAGAACAGTGATAGCCTCGCGATTCTTTACAGCATCCAGTCCAAATGATAGGGCAAATCTTTTGGCTAACTCCTGCAAAGAAAAAGTAATGAATGATGCAGGATTTCTCTTATGAGAGTAACAAGATAGTAGATGATTGTGCAAGATGGTAAATATTAACAACTTCTTTTTTGAATCTGTTTCCTCACAAAAAACTAGGCTCACTTGAATTCACGCGGTTTTCTCCCTACATCGTGATTCTTAATGAAGGTGATTCTGTCCGGTTTTCTTTTTTGGTATGAAACTTACTGACGTAGTGAGCTTCAAATGGTTGCGCATTATGGAGAAGTGGCACCTCTACAAATATTATTGCAAGGACTCACAGTCCAAGTCAGCAACTTTTGGATATCATAGTAGAGGGTGGATCGCAATTCACGAAGGAGAGAACTATCTTCCCAAACGATTTAGTTCATGTCAACTGCTTTCTTACTTCTTAACGATGACGATTAATTGCTGAAAACTGATGAAGAGTAAAATTCAAGCATATTCAAGGCCTTGAAATTTTTCTTCATCATAAAGTCAAGTAAGCACCGACGCAGAAACCCTGATCACCTTTACATTGCTGTACAAATGACTGAGTTACTTAGGAGCTAATTTGACTCATTTTCATTCCTTTTTCAACTAAAAATTACTCGTTCCAAACTTTAGTAGCAGCCTCAGCCTTTAGGTATGAATAATTTTTGAAATTTATCAGCGAAACAAATAAGTTTTTAACCAGATTACCTTTAGACTGGCGAATTCCTCATTTTGCCTGTTGATGCGATAACCTCGAGCATTTTGTTGAAGCTCTTTGAAGAGAGCAATCATACTGACAACCATCGTTCGAGCACAGTTGACCTTGTTAATTTCACGGGCTTTGCTTAGTGTTGTTTTGATGATGTCTCCATATTCATTGTATGACTGCGAATAAACAGAACAGAAATAAAAAGTTGTGTTTTTTTGCACTTGAGCAAATTTTAGAGAGGGTTAGAGTTTAATTACATTTTCTCCTCATCAATCATGCTAATCAATTGAACTGAAAGGTGAAATATTGCCAATAATTTTTTATCATTTTATCTTTTGTTTGATAAAATATTTCACACAAAATGGTGAGCAACAAGTCGTGTTAGCATTTGAAGTCGCATATACACCTATTAAAAATTATTGGTCATAATATAAAAGAGCGAATTAAAGTAAGAGCATACCTTGACGTAGTGCTTGAAAACATCAGCCGCTGCTGATGTTGGGAGTACACTGTAGACGATCAGCTTGCAATATGAAGCTAGGAAGTTTCTCCTTTTGTGCAACTCTTCAATCTTGGAGTGCTCATCCATTTCTCCCTCTTCTTCATAGATGAAAACGTTTGTTTGAATAAAATCATTTAAGAGAATCTGGAGTGACTGATTGGGTTCATAGACTAAGTGAGCTAGGAGAGGTGTCGAGTTTGAAACCAGCTGGTTGCAGAAAATGATGAGCAGGTCGCAGATTGATAGATAAGATTCTTCTTTAAGGTCTTGCATTTTTTGTGTGAGGAGCATGTCTTTGAACAAATCCATAACATTGATGAGACGAGCTTTGATTTGGATTGCGTTATCTTCGATATCGCTGCCGCCACCGCCCTCGACAAGTTCTTCCAGGTGGTGTAGATCCCACAGGATTCCAAAGTAACAGGTAGAGATGCAGTATTTAATGGCCTGAAAACACAGAAATAGGGTTCACAGATTTTTTTAAACTTTGAAATCCCTGAGTTTCCTTGCTTTTACACTGAAACCAAAAACAGGGACGCAGAAAATTTTTTGCCTTCTCAATTCAAAAACCCTTGGTTTACCTGAATTTTTCAAATTGAATTTTTATCGCTACTTTTTTCCGACTATCTAGTATTTCAAAGATATTTCCTAATTTTAATAACTTCGCAGATTAGCCTAACAATTTTCAAATTCCCTTCCCGTGAACAGTCTTATGTATGTACGCAACTACTTGCGACTCCCTAATCATGCAGGTGAGAAGTTTTTAAAACCCTGACCGGATGGACGAAAGTCAGTTTCACAAAAATTGAGGACAAAGTTTTCCAGTCTCACCTGTTGTTCATGGCAAAGAAAAAACGCAAAAGAGTAGGTAGATTTGACCAGTTTTACGGTTTCCTTTGCAATGAGTAGCGAGCTTAATAGTTTCCTTCTCAACAAATAACTCGATAAATGGTTTCCTTCACAAAAAATAGTATTAAATTTAAAATAAAAGGATCCCGCATGCCTTTTGCCTTTACATTTTATTCCTTTTCAAGTGGCTTCACATTTCTCCCGCAATCGGCCAATCAAGCACTCTGTGCACCCCTGGTGCCTTATTGGCATTGACTACTAGAAATTATTGGCTTCCATATGGTGAAACTCATACAAAAAATTATGAATTTCATTATCTTACCTCATCTGGAAGTTGTTTGAGACCATGATGAGCTTCGTTCAAATCTTTGTAGATGCTCGGCCAGATGTTCCATCCACCTAAATTGTGACATGAATAAAAGATGGAGACTTTCTTCAAGCTGTTGATGACAGCATAGATTTCATCATCATCTGGTGTTTCAGCCTGGAAAAACAGAAAAGTACGACACAAATAAAAAACACACACAATAAAGAGGTTAGTTTAGTTTGATACTAATGGTTTGATTAGTCCTGTGAATAAATCTCACTTGAAGTTATTCAGTTCTATCTAGTTTCGAAGAAAGACACATTTTGAAAACTTCCGTTGCAGAAATTTCTTGCATTGAAATTATTGCTGAGCTTAGTGGTGAAAAAGAATACATACCCCTTCAATGAGTGAGTTCCAATCATCCATTGCTTCTCGGTACTTGTTGACAAGGGTATCTATTAAAGTTGAGCGCTTTACATCACACCGTGTATAAATGATGGCATTATCTTCGGAGCACAAAAGTTCCAAAGTTTTGGCACAGGTCTCAAGTACGTCTTTATCTTGATGTTTCTCGGCAATTCCATTCATCTTCTTCAGTAGGAGGTCCAAATTCTAAGAGAGCAAAAAAAATCATCCGTAAAAAAATGAATACATAAATATAATTGTGAAATAAATTTTTTGCAACAAAAAATCCTACAAAAATTTAAACACCAATATTTCATGTAAATTCGAAAATTAATTGCTCACCAGGTAATACAAGATTACATTTTGAACTGTATTTACCATTCCAGATTGCAGGATACACACAGATCTTTTAAAAATGGGCAAAATGATAAATTACATCAAAATGTGTAATTATTTCCATCAGTCCGATAATCTTCCGAAATATTGTGAATAAATTACATTTACTTGAAACTGCTCTCTCATTAAGACCTACATCATTTCTAATAACAAATCAAACAGAGGCGCAATTTTTTAATTTTAACATGTTCTCATTATTTGTCTATAATAAATAGACATTGCTCTGACTGAACTGCAATTTAATGCATTCTCTGAGATAAGGGCTTTTAAATATTTTGATAGATCAGATTGAGGCATAATGCCGCTTGAAATTGACACATGAACTTGCATTTTCTTGGCGAGAAGTTGTGTAAATTTCCAGATCGAAGTATTGTGGGATGGAGAGGAGGTTGGTGAGTTTGTCCGGATCAGCTCTGTATTTGTCTAACAACGGAGGCAGCGTTCCGATGAAATGCTCAGTGAGCTTTTGCTTGTCATCTTGAACTTGCTTGATTTCTTTCACAGATGCAACCTGGAACAGAAAAATATTTGATCGATGAAGCTTCTTTACAACAGACCAATCAGCTAGAAGACAGGGTATTTTGTAAAACAAAGTTTACCATTTCTTTTTATTTATGATTTCATCAAATTAAAAATATTTAATTTGCAGTGTCCCAAAAAAACCTATTGCTCCAGCTTCACAGGTAAACTTGTACAGAGGTTCAGCGAAGCTAATTTCTTGAACTCAGTACTCAACAGTTAAGTTTCAGCTCAGTTGAAAATAGTTTTGTGAAACTCGAAAATGCGGCTGCATTTAAGTTAAAAAGAGTTTGGCCAAAGTTTGTTTAGCAAGTTCAGTAAATGTTGATTTATGTTAACAGGACCTCATAACCTCACAAAACACTTGACTTCTTCCACACTGAAAGTGCATTACAGAAAACATTTATTAACAACTCAAACATCTCATAAATAGGAGTTAAAAATCACTTCTGATTGTTGATTAACTCATATGTGAAAAATATTGCCTACTTTGCGATTGGGGCCACGACCAACAGGAGCATCTCCAGTGGCTGCCTGACGAACGCAGCAAACCATGAGTTCAATCAAACTGGTTTCTTGCCGATCATCAAGCGGCTCTTCTCCTGGTCCAGCTTCTTCCAGCAAAAGATCTGTCATACACTCCCAGTCTTTCATCATTTCATTAGACTCGATCAGTGAATCTACCAAGTAGGCACCATGTTCATGCAACTGTTAAAAATATAAAAAAAAGAGGATTAGACTTTAGAATGTTGTGATGTATTTACGCTGAAACTACACAAACATGTACTTAAGAGTCAATGTCTCAAAATTTCCACTACTTCTCAACTTCTTCAGTAAAATATTATTCATCATTTCCCTAAAATTAATTGTTTCCATTGATTCCATTGATAGAGAATTTGCAGGTGTTTAAAGTTTGATGAATATTGTGTTTCAGTGAAAACTACTGAGTGAGATGAACACGAGAATACCCTTGGTTCACGAATTGAACTCTTATTGGAGAAGATATGACAAAAGGGTAAGTATAATCTGCTAAAATACGTGTGTTTAAATGAGAAATGCTGCCAGATGACGTCACTAGGCGGTGCATTTTCTCACTTTTAAATCTATTTTTATATTATTTCCTAAATCAGAAAAAAAATTATAAAAAATACTGTGAAATAAGCTCTTTAAGCACTTTCAGATGAAGCAATAAGAAAATTGCATGCAAATTCTCCATTGTAGACAATTCCCATAAAACTAGTAAATTATGGTTAGTAAAGTTGTGGCTTAACGTTATAGCACATAGAAAAAGAAGGAACATAAATTAAGATGGCAATTTAACCAAAATGGCCGAAACATGGCATAATATATCATTTTTGGATAGAAATGATGAAATGATAGTGCGTAATCTCAACTCACCTCTGATTCAATGAAAAATTGAACAAGATCTCTGATGAGGGATGTGTTACGCAGCCTTTTCTTTCCACGTTTGGTGCGAATGTTGCTCATCATTTCATCCGGAACAAACAATCTTTCATTCAAAAACTCGCCAGCCGCTTGCGCTACAGCACGATGTGAAGAGTACACCAACTCGTAGACATGCTCGCAGTCCTGGTCAGTCAAGATGTCTCGATGGTGCCTGTTGAAAATGACATGAAATATACGGAATTCAACCAAACATTTTATCTTGAATTGGACATTAAGGCCTCCATTTACTGGCATTGCGTTTTACGAAACCATAGTAGTAATGAAGGAAGGATTATTTGACGATGGTACGGATAAAAGAAATTTTGACGATGTTCCAGAGATATCATAGAGACTATTTTCAAACTTACAAACTTCCTTATGGATACATAGTCAGCACACTTTTGAGCTTTTTCAAAGGGAAGAAGCGAACCTCCCATAGATAAATCATCAATTAGACTACATTTTGCAATACAATTGGAAAAAGTAGTGGTTCTTTGAGAATGAGATCCTATTGTGAGCCCTAGAGAAAAAGCAGTATTTCTGATCAAAGGGAAATTTTCATTAGATAATTTTTCTGGAAATCAGAGGGTTGGTTAGATAAATCAGAGCTTGAAATTTCAACAGATGATGCTCACTGATGTTCCAAAAAATAAGTTGCAATAAGATTATTACATTTTGGAGCTGAAATAGGTAGCATTCAAACTGACCTACTTGAGCCATACATATGGCAGACTGATGTTTTGCATGAATTTTCTTTGATAGCACAATTTTTGAATTGTCAACTTCAAAAACTTATAACTGTGGTTTGGTTTTACGTTTTTTGAGCCAATATGTCTGTAAAATGCACCACAGAGCATTGGAGCTCTACCATACTACAAAAAAGTCGCAAGAGCCATCAAACGTCCAGTTTCCTTTGCTACAATACAAATTATTAATAGGGAAATTTGCAATATTTCTCCTCCAATTTTTCGGAGAATTTTACGCAAAATTTAATAGAAAGTAACTCAACATTTCAGAGAAAATATTCATTTCTTTTCCCAAAAATTAATATTTTATCGGAGAAAATTCGGCAACTACCGATTTTCATGGAACGTTTTTCTTAGCACAGCAGTGCTGATATCTGCATTTTGATTTTCTCATCACTATGGTTCTTTTTCCGGTGGATAGTAACAATGATTCAATTTTTAATGAAGCAGTAAAAATATCAAAACTCTTACTTGAGAATGCTGATAACGAGGCGCACAGCTTGAACCGCTACATCATATTCCTTGTCCAGTGTCATTGCGACAATTCGATCTTTGAATTTACTAGTGAACAGCTCAAGTTTGCCTTTTAATTCCTCAGATGCATACAATGGTTGCAATGCCTGCAAGAGACAATAGGATAATTAAATTCTGTCGAAGTCGGTATGAAACAAGGTAATTTTATGAGTTGGAAGCTTGCAGCCAAACAAATGCATAAAGTAGACTACGGAGGAATTTGTTTACTGTACATAACAGCCACAGTTCGGCAATGAAAATATTAATGATGATGCATGATGATGTGACTGTGCTTTATAATCTAGCAAAAACCAACTTGTGTTGAAAAACTTTTTAGAGTATTTATTTAAATGGCAAGACATTAATATTAGAGAGAAATTGTTAAACAATTAATCATATTTATTGATAAAAATCATGATAATGAATTTAGAGGATGGAATTAAAGAAAAAGAATATTTCAAAATTTAATTTTTTCAGATGAGATTTGAGTACCTGCAAGCATTTGAGACGAACTTCTCCAACTTTGTCATGGAGTGTCCAACCAATGTACTTAAGGTATGAATCATCAAGGAAATTTTGATGGAACTTTTTCATCCAAATTCCAATTTCAGCCATACAGATGGCGCGGATTTCTGGTAAGGTATCTCTGAAAAATGGAAGAAAACATTGTAAAAAAAATGGAACTTAAAGCATCTTTAAAGATTCTTTTCTTTGTTAATGGACATTTGATAAAAAAGAAGTTTTGTAAAGGGCATTCATGATAATTAGGAGTCGATTTCCCTTCAATTATTGTACATAATTTTTTGTGTCTTGAAAAAAACTGTCTTTCAACTAAAGGAAATACAATTAATACAATTTAATAGGAGATACTGCTTTTTTTCACTTTGCTAACAAATAAATCAATTAGAATATTGGGAGAAAGAAGATTAATTAATTAAATACATTGAAAAAAATGCCACATGAATGCATTCATTACCACATCAAATTTTTTCTTCTCTTCATTTCTTCATAAGACAAAATGAAGCTTGCAAAAGAAACTTGAAAAGCAAGTTTGAATTACTTTACCTGTATCTGTGCACAAAAACTGACTTAAACATGTAAGTCAACATATTCTTTATTTCATCCATGTTCTCTTCAAGTTCTTGTCGTTTGGACATTAAGGATTCCAACCTATCACTGGCCCTTTTGTCACGAGCTTTTTGCCGCTCTGACTCGTATTGACGCTGAGTGTTGTCAAGATTTACAGAGACGATCAAAGCTACATCAACCAGAGCCGTCATCAATTTCATTGCTGGAATAAAAAGACTGTTCATTGGCACAAGCTCAAAAATAAAACTTCTTGTAAAAATCCACTCCTTTTTTCATTTAAAATGGATGATAAAATTTCACGGAAGCAAATTATGATAAAAAATATCAAAAACACTTGAAAACCTTACGAAAAAAAGTGAAGAAGTCTTCAATCAGATTTTCGATTTAAGACAAACCATTAGAAAAGGTTACTGAGTAATTTTACATAAACACAATTTAGCCTCATCTTACCTGTACCTGACTGATACCCATAAAAATTTGAATGGATATTTTAATATATATTTTATATGGATATTTTAATTTGATATTTAATGCATGAAATATTTGGAAAGTTCTACTTGAATGTAACAGATTGCAAACAAAGAAAAATTAATAAATAAATTGTAAATATCTTTGTTGATTCCCCCTCTCTACTTTTTTCAATAAACTTTCATGTTCCAGGTAGATTTACCAAGCACAAGCGTCTATTCCATAGTCCCCTTTCCCTGAAGAACTAGATGGATAGATCAGTAGTATCTCTTATCTATACAATTGGAAATGAATTCTCCCCATTTATCCATTTATTTCATTCACTTAGATCTTCTTTCAAATTAAATATCAAGAGGTTACTAATTTCTTAAAATCCTGTTATGTTGTAATCTTAAGCCATCTTGCTGTTTCTAAATTTTTGTTTATGGGCTTGCCTGTGAATTGTAAAAAAAGAAATAAATAAATACATTTGACACTACTGTCACCACTTTCTCAAAATTTTGGACAGAGCAATCCCCGGAAGTAGATAAATTTAGCAGAACAGAACTTGGTTAGTTAGCTCTGATACATTCTTCCCTTTGCTTTTTCATTTCCCAACAAAACATCCGTATGAAACCGTTACAAACCTGCTAAAGTAGCGGTGTGACGGAAAGCTCGGACCTGCGAATCTGACAAACCAGTAAGAAGTGAGATAACATTGTCCATAAGATACTGGTCGTAAATGATGGAGTATTGACACTGTTTGACTAACTGCGCTACAAAATCACAGAAGTTCCCACGGAACTTCTTCCAGTGTTGACCAGACATTATCAAGGGATACTCCCCGCTTTCCTGTAAACACGAGTGCATAAAAGAAATATGAATAGGTCGTGTGAGAACAACTACTGAGTAAAAGTTAGCAGATTGAGACGTCATTAATACCTCCAATGTCTGTGATAATTTTAGAGAGATTAGTGAGACAACAAGATATTTCGGTTTTCGGCTACTCATAATGCAAAAACAAAAGTTGAGCTATTGACCAACTTTAACATCCGATGTATTAACATCCTCTTGCACATTGTTCTTCTATTGAAGCATAGCCTGAGTTGCTATCATTGCATATATTTGTAAAGTCGGCTAATAGCTCAATTTTTGATATTAGTGAGTATCCTTATTTCACCACCACCCTGCATAACTTGAGTAGGAAGAGAGAGAATTCAGGAGAAGCCTGCTTTCTTCATGAGCCTTGTCTAGTCATTCCACTAGATATTAAGAAAGGACTAAAATCCGATGATTTAGCATTAGGAGGCCAAAAATTAACTGACCAGTGTAATGTAGACAAAGGTAAAATGACAAATGTTGATGGAAAATCAAGTGGTCACCTACAGGAACAAAGCACATTTGAGAAACTTAATTACTCAATCAGCTGATATGCAGTAAATATTTTATACTTTCAACTGTGCCATTTACTAACCTCGTCAAATTCTTCTGTCATGCGACGAATGATGGCTGCGTGTTCCATGCTAGCAGACATTGCAGGGGTAATACGACCTTTGCAACCACTGGCGTTGATGAAAAATTGCATGAGTGCCAGAAGCGCTGAGTCCCTGTTCACTTTGTATTCTTCGATCCAGTCGTCCACAATTGTCTACAAGAAAAAGAGAGAGAAGCAATTTGGTAAAAAGGTAAAAGGACCTTTTGTCTTAACATGACTCTGGTGCTGCTCATCAAATTAACAAACCCTACCTGGGTGTAAAAACTTAATAACATCCTAACTTTGTTCAAATGTTTATATTGACCTTTATTTTTAAATGTCTCCTACATGCAGAACCTTACTATGATTACTAATTTGTTTTGCATCATGTTTTCATCAAATTGCTATTCCATAAGAATAAGATCAGTGGATCTACCAGGCATAAATCAAGAAATACATAGTATAGATGTTATTGAAAGGAGGCCCCAACGTTGTGACCATCTTTGATGATAGTAGCTTACAGCTTTTGTATTTCTCTACTTTTTCTCTTGCCCTTTGCACACGTTGCAAGTTTTATGTTGAAAGTGGGGGTCATTAGAGCATCACTCATTGATGAGGGTTTTTGAAACACATTTCACAATCATCGATGAGTGATACATCGAAGACCCCCATTTTCAGTAAAATATTTGCAATGTGTGCAAAGGGCATCTGGTTTTTGTAGCTTAATAGAGACTAAACATTTATAAAAAGTAAGCAAGCTAAAATAAGTGGGATGAACTTACAGCTAATGCAGCTTTTCCATTGCGAATGGCATAGTACAAGCTTAAATCATCTTCTTCTTCAATTTCAACTGGTGCAACAGGCTGTTTCCGCGGAGCAGCACCTCTTCGTCTTCCTTCAACAGCCACTTTCTTCTGAGGAGCTGCTGCAGGTGCAGCTACAGGTGACGGTTGAGGATTTTGAGCATCTGAAAAAAATCAAAATGAGATTTAGCTCGATAAAAATGTGTCCTGACAATAAAATTTATAGGATTCTCTTCCAAACACCTCTATCAGTTCCAAATAAGTTATTCTAAATAAATGCCCACCGTGCAAGTACTTAAATCCATGACTTCTGCTGTGGGTTAACAGAACAAAAAGTTCCTTAATTGAATCAGCTTGCACAAAAACGTCCGATGTCAAATACAGCGTTTTGGAATTTCATTGCTTTGTCTTGCCCCACGACACTGATGAATATGACCAATTCTCCTAAGTAAACTTTTAAGAGTACTTGCCGAAGTTTTGATGAAATTATTCTACATTCCTAACGTCTTAGACTAACCTTCGTCTGTAAGTTACAGCGAAATGGCCCATGCAAATACTGAAACACTGTATTGGGCATGGGACATTTTTGCATGAGCCGATTCAATGACTACTTGTATTTGTCTATTTCTACATTTCAGGGTGTCTACTGAGGTCCACAAAAATAAAATAAATACTTTTTCAGTACTTCCTAGGTACTAAAGGAAAAATTTAAGTACCTCGCCTTGGGGAAAAATTAAGTACTTTTAAGTACCTTTTCGATATGTATCGCAATTCTTCGAATTTGGCACTGCCGCGCGCTTTACTTCAGCTATTCCCGTGGCCTTTTCGGCTGTTTCTGTCAAATCTAGGGAAATGCCTTATTCCGCTCCTATACAACAACCGCGCTCTTACGGGCTGACATTGCACTAATACGCCTGAAGGGCAACGCACAGAGGGTTGCATAACTATCAGGCGATCGAACTGAACGCGCAGCGCAAAATGCGAAAAATTACGGACCTTCTACAAAATTTATGTACTTTTTAGGTACTTACGGACCGACCTTAAAAAATGCGTACTTTTTCCGGACTTTACGGACTGGTAGACACCCTGACATTTAGATACCTGACCAGATGAGATCCCTTGTCAAAAAAAAAAATAAAGAATAACTCACTTCGCAATCTGGCACGTGTGACTCGCCCACCCTTCAAAGCTGCCGGAGTTGCTGGCTGTTCATACTGCACCGGCGGAGGTTCATACTGAGGAGGTGGCTGTTCGTAAGTCTGAGACACTTGCATCGGTTCATAGCCGCTTTGAAGATGTGATTGTTGCAACTGCTGGTCATATTGATGTTGATCATACATTTGTTGGTGAGGTTGATCAAAGTGACTACTATTCGCCAGGGGCTCTCCATAATGCTCTCCACCATATAGCTGATCCACACTAGAGAAAAAAAGACAATGATTTTGCCGTCGAAAATTTCTACTTGCTTGTGGATGCATGATAAATAGGAAAGCATAACCGGAGGATAATTCCAACATAAGTTTCCAAAGAAAAAAAGCATTGTAAACATGTAGAGAGCGCTATTTGATCAGGCATTACTCCAGCCTCCATTCTTCAAAATTGAAAAAAAGTCTGGCAAAAAACTGTGGGCTCAGTTCATTTGATGCTTTTGAATGGCACAATGAGAATTAATGATTTAACTAACCCATTGAAGAAACAAGAAATGTAACGATCCCAGCCGACTTCAAGGTTGCACGACTTAATACTTAAGGTTTTTTTCAGTTTAAGCCAAATAAATCATACTAGTGTCATGCAATATTACAGGCTCATACGCTTTGGTTAATTAGTTAACATTAATATGGAAGATCTATCAGTGCTGAGGAAACTTTAAGAAAACATATCTATATTGCAGTTATATAAAAGTTCTGCTCCTAACTTGTACCTTTTCAAGCGGAAATCATATAGCTTGATTTTTAAAGATTCTTGCATAATATTCTACAAACAAAGCTGAAATTTTTCAGACATTTTTAAAGAATCAGAAAAATTCATTCTTTCCTAATAAGAGGCTAATGAGAAAAGTGACATTAGTATGATTTAGATTGTAAGATCTATCTACAACATTAAAAACTGAGGTGCATTGTCTCTGGGTTTGATCATCATCAATGATTAAATCAGGTAAAAACTATTTACCTTCCAGACGTCATTGGTGTGGCCGGATTTTGATATGCACTGTACGGAGTGTAAGGTTCTTGAATGTCTGCTTCCATGGGCGTCATGGGCGTCATGGGGTTAGATGTGTCATATTCTGGTGGAGGAGGCTCATCCATACGGATGCGCTTCCCGATACTTCGCGCATGCATCTTGAGTTCTGCAATTAAATCAGAAGTCATTAAAATGAAAGGCTTTTCTCCCCAACTATAGTGGTGATGAAAACGTATTGAAAAATTTTGCAACTGAACCTGAGAAAAGCACTCAAGACCTCTACAGTGAGTAGCAATTCAGGTACCTTATCTGACAAGTTTCTTCCATCATATGATTCCAAATGGATGTAATTGATTTCTTGATACTTGGGTAGCACCTGACAACTATGAAATTAGATCGGTCACAGCTGTATGCACTAACAGGAGTGCACCAACTGATTCCCTTGAAGAGCGGTAATCATGGGCTGTTGTTTGACATCTCTAAAAATTGACTCAATTTCTCAATTCATGGGCTTGAAGTTCTATAAGTGCATACTCCATTTAACTTGAACCAAACTTCAATATTAGGAGAAAAGGTGCTACGATAGAGTTGGTTTGTAGCGCCAAATGAAAAAATTATATTGACAGTGGGTAATATTAGAGGGAGACTATACATTTACCTGATGAATGGTACTTTATAGATGAAGTTGAAACAAGAGTTGCTTGAAGTTTGACATTTTTTTTCTACAAAAAAAGTTAATTTCAGAGAATTTCGAGGGAAAGGCCAACATAAACACTGATAATGGCGGGCTGGATTGAAAACACCCGAAAACTCACCAATCAACCAAAGCGGTTTGTGGCGGTTTGTGATGCATTTCCGGTTGATTAGACGGCTTGCAAAAAAATGTCAACATTGCATGCCTGATAATATAAAATAGTTATTTAATATCGTTCATTATTACACCGCATCTTCTCAAAATGTGCCCAGAGTTTCACCTTCTAAAATAATCTAACCATTTTCATCTGCAGAAAGTGGTATTTATGCAAGTGTAAGTGCGTGTCAGTGCCCAAACACCGAAGGTTCCAGTCTACTTTGAAAAGACTTGATTTCTGCAAACAAACTGGCGGCGACAGGGTTTAGCGATGAGGCCGTGGGGTCAAAGAAGCATAAAAAACACAAGAAAGAGAAGGATGGTAAGGACCATGTAACTATCTACTCATAGAATTCTCTGCAAGTTTCCCTCTGTCTGGATGGTGGAACTACGTTCTGTTTACAAGGGCAATTTTGTCACCTTAGCGAGGACTTTGATGAAGTAGTTTTAGCTCACTAGAAAAACTTTTCTCAAAGCCAAAAGTGAGGACATCCTGCAACCCTTGATGACTTTGCCAGATGCTCGTTCTAGAGCGGACTCATCGTATGTTGAGACAAAAGACAAGTATAGTTTAGGTCACCAATCGTCAGTGGTGCCATCTGACTGCATGTATTTATCTGTTGAGTGGTGCTGATTTTGAGGTAATCAGAGATTGACATTCGTCCCAAAATGAGGTGTGTCATGATAGACAATGGGCTTCAACGGAAATTACCTGGTGAGGGCGTTGCGAGTTTGACGATTGTTCTTGAACCTCCGTTGTACAACGCTTTTCACCCGGTAAAGTGTCATGGCGGTTCAACGCTTACCGCAACAGCTCAGCACATTTTGTGGCTGGTGAATGGAGCATTGAGCATTGAGGAGGTAAACTAAGTCACGTGACAGTACCTAGGCCTCAGTTGGACAACGGGTAACTCTGCGGGTAATTCACGGAAGTAATCTCTGTTGTCTATCATGAACGCATTTATATGATGAGTCTGCTCCAATAGTTGGTTTGAGGATTCTCCATGAAGACTAAGCAACATGTTGGTCGTTCAGATCTAGTACAATATTTTCGTCTTTGGAATTCTCCAATGGAACTTAAAACAAATATAGCATTGCATTTCAATGTTCCGGTAACTTTTATCCCATCTGAGACTGTGGAGACAAATCCTTTTTGGTAGGCTATTGGTTGGTACTGCTTGTCTTAAAATACCGCTGTACACCGATAAGGCTTCTCTTGTTTAGAATGGCCAGCATTTTCAAAATCGCAAGAGTTCCAAACTTAAGCATTGTTGCCTCTCTAACCAGTTTGTTGGGTCGCTTAACAAGTAAAACTAATAATCGTGGCAATTTGTTCCCATGAGCGAAGATTTGCTGAAGTGCAAACCCAAATCAAAGCCACTCATAGCTGCGGAGGGTCAAAAAACTAGGAATTTATTAAAGAAACTTCTAGAAATTTACGCTGCCACAAGTCTTGAAGAGTAATTAAGGCCAGCTGAGTTGGGAACAATGTTTCAAATTAATAATGCTCCTTGATTGTGATGTCTCTTCAAGAGTGCTTACATGCCTAAAATCCTCCCTTTAAATGCCTGGTGGCACAGGCTTCCAATGGGGGCTGTGTACTATTTTCGCATGATTGTTTGCCGTAAGTCAAAAAAATGAAGGTAATTAAGGTCGTTATAGCTTATCTACTCAGCCACCTTCTATCCCTTGTTTCAATTTTGTCCTTTATTTGAGTTGTACATCTATTTTTCTTTCATTTCCAGAAAAACCCGGTCTGAAAATGATTCTCAAAGTTGGAGGCTCTTCAACGCCAGAGCATAGTATTGATTCACCTTTAGCTTCGAATTACAGTGTAACGCAAACCACTGGTGATGAAGAATCAATGCACTCTGTTGGCTCCTTCCAGCAGAACAGCCGCCAAGATGACTCTATACTTTCAGACAAATCTCATAAGAAGCTTAAAAAGAAGAAGAAAAAGAAAGACAAAGATAAAGATAAAGACAAGCATGACAAGAAAAAGAAACACCACAAAGTAAGTTTATAGTAAATCCGTCCACCATTGATATCGATTGGGAAAAAATGAGCTAAACTTTATGGAGACAGCAACAGAAAATATGAGCCGAAGACCTATCAATGTAACGATAATCTAAAATTTTCCTTTGAAAAACCCTCATATGATCTCCTAACTAAACTATTAGTAAAAACGAGTAATTATTATATGAGTAATTATTGATAAGTAAATATTAAAATTATTAAAGTGTAAAATTTACTCTAAATACACATCAGTGCATGATAAGTGCATGTCTATAGGTGTCTATAGGTAACCTCAAATGGAGGTTTGACTTTATTACTTACAAGGTTGGGCAGGTTAGATCAATAGAATTGTAAAGTTCGGACAAACTTAGGAGAGAGTTTGTAATTTCTTGGAAATAGAAGTAGTCAACTTGATACTTCCAAAGTACAAACTAAAAATAAGTATAATAAGTGTTGTCAATGAAAGGACCACAACTCCAATCAAATGACTACAGTTACATAATTTTGAATGATTCTCAACTTTATAGAGACAGCGACAGAAAATAAAAGCCGAAGACCTATCAATCCAGAATTGATTTTTACGGTATTTTTGCTTTGGATATTTCTGTGTTTTGTGTTCTGTGTATTTATTCATGCATTTTGCTGTTTTCAGCGAAAAAAAGTGAAGGATGAATCAAGTCAAGATGATGTAAGCCTTCTTGGGGACGAGTCTCTACTAGAGCCACCCACCAAAAAATTAATGAGTGCAGATCATGATAACTCCTCTTTTGATCTTTTAGATACTAATTATGGTAAGTTACTGTTTCTTGCTTATTTACATGTTAAAACTAGGATTGGCTCATTAGTATAGATCCTGTTTTGAACACACTGAACAATAGTATTTCATTGGACTAAGTGAGTAAATTTGCTCATCCTCAGGAAACCTGACCGAAGTGCAGATTTTCTGTCAACAGCAAAAACACTGCTTCTCCACTCAATGTTTGGAATTTTTTTCTTCATAAAATGTTTTATCACAAGAAAACCAGATCACCATTATGCTTAATTTTGTCAGTTTAAGTTCTTCCTACCTAGTTTGCCATATAGTCTCACTAGAACTCTGTAAGATGAATTGTTGTTAGTTTTTCCGTTTATGTATTAAGAATTTCCTCAGAAATAAATTGAAAAAATCCAGAATTGATTTTTTCGGTACAAGGTCTGTTCAATAAGTTTCAGGAATTTTGCGATAAAAATCGGAAAAATGGTCCAAATTTGATCTTCTTGGTATCAATGAAAATTTAAAAGAAGTACAAAAACACTGCTTTTTACAGAAAGAAAAATATTTATTGATTCTCAAGTTACAGCAGCCTTAAGTGAAAGACTCAAAGCTAAGCTGCGATTTTTAGGATTCAGAAATCAGTTATTTTTTTTTTGGACGCCAAAATGTTGTAATTTGTTGCTTGGACGATCATATAATAAAGAAAAGATATTGACGAATAAATTATGAAGAATCACCTGATATTTGTGTCTCTTTACAGCTTATCCCCTTCAAAATACTGGCCTTGGCTGACGATGCATTTCCGCTAACGATCCGCCAAATCACAGAAGGCTTTTCGAAAAATCTCCAAGTTTATTTTTCCCAAAACTGAAGCAACCTTTTAAAGGTCAACAATTTGAATCCGTGGAGGATGTTCAAACGAACACTATCGGAACGTTGCAGCACATCAACTCGGAGATTTTTCAAAAAGCCTTCCGTGATTTTGCGGATCGTTGGCGGAAATGCTTTGTCAGCGAAGGCCAGTATTTTGAAGGGGATAAGCTGTAAAGGGACACAAATATCAGTTTATTCTTCAAAATTTATTTGTCAATATCTTTCTTTTATATGTGATCGTCCGAGCAAAAAATTACAACATTTTGGCAACCAAAAAATAGTAACTGATTTCTGAATCCTAAAAGTCGCAGCTTGGCTTTGAGTCTTTCACTACAGGTTGCTGCAACTTGAGATTCCATAAATATTTTTCATTTCTATAAAAATCAGTGTTTTTGTATTTCTTTTGAATTTTTATTGATACCAAGAAAATCAAATTCGGACCATTTTTCCGATTTTTATCGCAAAATTCCTGAAACTTAAAGAAGAGACCTTGTATTTTTGCTTTGGACAGTTGATGTAGATTCAATATTGAGCCATTGGTGCCTCAGCTGAAAGGAATATGTCACAAACACTAGTGAGAGGAGTGTTCTACAAATATCTGGTGAAAGCATGCCCAAAAATTAATAAAATAATATTGATGCCTAAATGTCAGTTGTAATTTATGTTTTGTATTTCTTTTTGTGCAAGACTCAGCTCAATGAAATTTAAAATATGCTGAAGACTTACAAAATACTTAATAATACTTGCAATGAAATGTTTGTTTTATAAATTACTGTAACTTTTAACTGACCTTATTTTTACCAGGTGATGCTAGTCCTAACCGCAATTCAAGATCTTGCGTTGCTCGACAACGGCAAGAAAAGACATCATTCCAAAAACTCCTGGATCACATACATCGATGTCTAGAAAAGCGAGATGCTCAACAGTTCTTTGCATGGCCTGTCACAGACAACATTGCTCCTGGATACTCAGCTATCATCAGTCATCCGATGGATTTCAGCACCATGAAACAAAAAATTGACGATGATATATACTCTTCACTGCAAGAATATATCGTAAGTTTTCCCCTCCGTACCAAACATCTCTAATCTATTTACCAAAATTAGACCGATTCTTGTGTTGTCCTTTCATAGCCAAATCGAATGACATCCACCTAAAATCATTCACTTTGTAAGAATTTTTAGTGCATTTAATGGTCAGTGGTCTTTATACATACATATAGCCGCTTTCACAGCGCAGCCTTGCGCTCTGCGACATCCAATGGCCATTGCTCCCTATCCTCCCAGAAATCATCAGGCAATTGGTGCCTTCTGAACAGTGGTCTTTTTAAGATTACTTATTTTCGTCTCCTTCTTGTAGTAATTTTTTGTTCATCTTGATTTGTAGGAAGACTTCAAACTTATGTGTGGCAATGCAATGGTTTATAATCATCCAGACACTATCTACTTCAAAGCCGCCAAGCGACTTCTTCATGCTGGTGTGAAGTTGACTCACCCTGATAAAATTCGACCATTGCGCACAGTTCTTCCTTTCATGTCTGAGATCCCTCGACATCAGTTGGGTTTTGATGTTGGATCAGAGGAGAACGATGATGTAGCCATGGACAAAGAGAATTCTGTGGATACCCCGAAAGAAGTAGAGAAACCCAATGGAGACGTGAAACCAGTTCGAAGAGGTCCAAATTATCTTCCAGAGTAAGTATTTTCCTCTTGTCATTTTTTATGTCCTGGGTCAAAATGCTTTTGATTGTGCGTGAATTATGTATACTTAATTTTTTTTTTCCTTCGAAATCTCAAATCTATGAATATTCTCAATCCTGAATAAATTGCCTTTTCTAGGATTTTTAAAACGATCATATTTTAGAATATTTCTATTTCTTTTCTGGTAGTTTCTCTCAGGATCATTGGACGGATAGATCTTTGAGGTGTTGATTTCCAGACTATCCATTTGCATTATACGCATTTACATCTCCCATTTGTCTTTTCATGAAGATTGTTGAAATTGAAGGTGTGAAAAAACTACTCTCATCTCTGAAACCATTCCTATGATTTCTTACGGCATTTGCAACTCCCAGGAAGTCCTTGATCTGGGATCAGTTCCAAGACCTCTTCTCTGTTTCAGCTGACCCCTCTCACCTGAGATGTTTTTCCCTTGTTTCAGGAGTAAGTTTGAAGCCATTCCAGATGATTTGACGCCGGATGAGTTACTGACCCAATGCCAGAAAGCCGCAGCAGATGCTGCCGATAAGTTAGCAAAGAAAAAACCCAACACTAAGGTATTGTACCACTTTCCTCCTCGCTTACATATCTGCATTAAAAATTGACCTCTACCTTATCCCTCTTTTCTACTCATTTCTTCATCTCATGGTGACTATTATTTACCTTTGAAGCTTAGACACTGAAGGTGGTCATATTTATAGGTATCCCCTTTTTAAAATTAGGTAGATTTCGTTGAGTAAATTCAAAAAATTATTTCGTTAAGTAATGTCTGAAGTTGTTTTAAGTTTTATCATGAAAAACCTATATATTCTCATTAATTAGATATTCTGACATTTAAATCGGTCCTCATCAATTTGTTTTTGTACCGTTTTTTTTTGTGTCAATTCATTGGCGACACAATAATCGGAGCATGTAACAGTATCTAATGAAATTACTTCTTGTTCCTTTTTTAAAAGATGGGATTCCTCAGGCAATCCAAAGACGGAACAACCTCCCTAGCAATCATTGTTCCCAACGATGGTATTGATCCAGAAACAAATGAACGTCCAATATCTCTTGGTGCTCTTGTCGGCAAGCTGAATCATGGAACAGGATCTTTGCAAGGTTTTCGTGAGGATAGAAGAAATTTGACCAAACCAGGTACAAATTACTCTTATATCTCTTTAAATTCTCTAAATCTAAACCAAGGACTACGCTCGGAATATCACAACTTTTCAGCTATCTAAATTTTGATATCATTTGGTGTGTTGCTCCTTACTGCCTGCTGAGCAAGATGAATTTTTAAAATTAAATTATTTGTATCGCAATGTTGAGATAAGTGGGTCGGAAAAGTGAATTTTTAGCCTTCTTACACGCATTTTCTAATGGAGATGTGAAGCCGTTGCTATTCCTGTGTGAACGCTTTGCTGCACGGTTTCTCACAATTCTAGATGAAATTTTGATTTTTCTATATGTGCATCAATTAAACCCAAATTTTATTTCCAAGCTCTTGAAAACCTCCAGTACCTTGTTTACTTTTCAATGGTTTCAAATTGATGCATGCAGTCATGCTTGTTAAATCCAATCTCCAATTTGTGAATATCACTTCTTTGCATTCGAATATCAATGAATGAAGAACCTTATTTATTACACGCCCTCAGCACACAATGATGATGTGTTATGTCCTTTACATGGAACATTCAATATTTTTACTCATGAGGCTTTATTCATATTGTCATTGATTTAAGATATATGTTTGTTTCACACCTTCAGCACTGCCTCTATTTACCCGTAATAATTTCATGAGTATTGCAGCAAGTCAAGTTGTGTTTATGTAAAGTATGTAATGTAGGATGACTTTTTGTCTTACTTGTTGGTTTGCAGTGCTTTTGATTTTGTATTTAATCTTGGTGTAAATTTGAACTCTGAAATTTCTTATACTTTCAGTGAAACCTCTGTATTACGGAGCTTTTGGGTCTTATGCTCCCTCCTATGACTCAACGTTTGCCAATTTGTCCAAGGAAGAATCTGACCTGGTTTATCAAACGTACGGTGATGACACCTCTGTCCAATATGCTGAAAGGTATGAGCCACATTATTCAACCACTCCTTTCAATGTGGGGCTGGTTCTTTCTTTATAAAGTCAGTATAAACATGCTAGGATATAATCATGTAAATTCCTCTGAAGGAAATATTTTTTTCACGGCAACAAGCAAAGCTAGAATTCTAAAGGATAGCTTTTTTGCTGCAAAGACTGTTTTCTCGTTGTGACTGCTGCAAGATAAAGGTATAACAGGAGCTTAACATTCGCCAGCCAATCACATAAAAGGAATCTTTTTGCAACCATTGAGTTATTACAGGTCATAAATATTCAGGAGAAGCCTCGCTATTCAATTTCTGTCTATCAGGGGGAAAACTTAAAGTAAAGAAAAAAGAAGAAAAAAGTCTGGATTTTCTGATCTCTAAAGTTTTTTTTTGACTGAAGTCTGTGTGTAACTAATTTTTTGTTGGAATAATTCTGAAAAATACCGGATTTCTGTAACAGGTACATAAATCAGAAAATTTCAGTTATATGTAAAAAATATTTGCCGTCTTGCCTAAATCTATGAGGTTAATAGTTTTGCCTTGTTTGTAACAAGCTTTTTACAAGTAATCAATCATTGATCTAATTTCCCTGTCTCTTTTTTCCACAGCATATTAAACTTTGCCAAAGACAGCGATTACACTCTAACGATGGTAGATAATTTATTAGATCTGTTGACGGGCGGAGAGCATAGAAAGACTAAGAAAATAATAGATGAAAAACGGAAGTTCAGGGAAGAGGAAGAAAAAATCAAACAACTAATGGAAAGCAAGCCTGCTGTCAATAGTGCAAATAATGGAAATGTGAAAGTTGAGTTAAGCCAGCTGAAGACTTTATCCGACTTGGGAATTGATACGAGCTTCCTCAATTCTTTTGGTAAGGCTTTGCTTATTAAGTTGATGTCTCAAAGGACTCTTGTAACAAGATTAGATTATTTCATGCGGTATCATCACTATACAGGATCTTTAAGTTAAAATGAGAAAAGAATAATGCTCTTCTATTAATAACATTTGAAAAGTCTAGTAGGGAGTTTTCAAAATTTTTTACATCATTTGTTTTAAAAAATTCAAATAAGTTTGAACCTCAGCAAAAGTTGATAGCCTAGAATTGCAAATGGAATTTGAATTTTAGTATGTAAATATTTTTTTCTCTTTTTTTCTGCATGATATGTTTTGGTTCTTTGTTGAGCACCAACCAAAATACTCCTGTTAAGTGCTCCTCTATGTTGCTACATAGGAAGTACATACATGTACGAATTCATTCGTTCTGTTACTCTTCGTTCGTCAATCCAGAAATTTAATAAAGTCTTTTCTCAAATTGGCCCTTAAGAAAGAAAACTGTCAATCCAAATGGCTTTCGGCCTGAGTATCAAGGACTGTTGAAGAGAAGATTAGGTAAATGCAAAAATACTCTTACCGGAAGAAAGAAGAGAATCGTTTTAATATTCATCCTGATAAAATGTATAGTCCTTACTTAAAATGAGTTATCAAATTGAATAAATATGTAATGCTAATCATTTATTTATTTTAAATTTCAACGGTCTCATTGAAAGTACATAATTAATCAGAACAAAATAGAAGTAATGAACAGATTTTGCAGGTGTCATTCTACATTTTTTCATTTTCTATAAAATTATGAGATCAAAACATGAGAATGGGTCGATGCCTTTCATGCCACCGTTAATCCAATGCATAGTAAGGCTAATATTGTCCACAAAAAAATGCCTATCCGCTGCCTTTGCACTAAAAGCTGCGGACCTGTTTATTTGAATTGAAGTGTTTTTTTGTAAATTTTGAAAAAAAATTGTTTTCAGATAACGGTGACTTTGATGTCCAAGAGCGACTTGACAAAACCAACGTTTTGATTGACCGACTGCATCAAGTGCAAAGCGAGAGATTAAGTGCCCCACCTCCTCCTCATCTTGCTCATGTTCCTGCTCCCAATGAAACCGAATGTATTCTTGGTAAGTAGTAATTTCTAGCAATCATATTACTGAATTTATTCTTGAAAAGCCTGATCCATTGTTGGTTAATATTTTTTTGAAATTAATAACTTTTTTGGTTTTCTCCTTCACCAACCACATCTATTTGGACCGCGTTAAGCAGAAAGGAACCAAGCCACATCAGCTATTGCCAAATTTAGCTGGGCAATTAATCAATTACATTAAAACGGTGAAGCGGATTTGTTTGAAAATTTCAGTGAATTTTCTGCATGTTACAAGGCAGATCCCCTAAAATTTTCAAAAAAATTCGCACAAATGTTCTCTTGTAGAAAATTAAATACCTCAGTTAAAAGTGGCAACAGCCGATGTGGCTTAGTTCTTTTCTGTTAAATGCGGTCCATTTAAGTAAGTTTAATAGTTAACTCTAGAAACGTATGGTCCGCATCAGACATTGGTCCAAGCATCAAAGGCAGAAGTAATTAAGTATATTTTTTGCCTAAGTGAGGTATGATTTTCTTCCTCTCCCCTTCCAAAAAAAAAAAAAAAAAAAAACCCTTGTTCACTGTAAAATTATAAGTATGGACTTTTTTTATGTAGGACCTATAGTACCTCAACTAACAAACCAACTTAAATCTATTCCATATGTGTGAAGTAAACTATTATACTTTAATTGAATGCCTCATTTTTTTCAGCTGATAAAATTACTGGTAGTCTATCTGATCTCGCAAAGAGGGTGCCTCCGGGTGCAATTGCGTCCGTTCCTGGTGTTCGAAAAGCAATGGGGGTGGCAATCGAGCCGCCAGTGCGACCAGTTGAGTCTATTGAACGAACAGAGACCTCTCCGGCTGTGGATTCATCTCCTGCTCAGGTTCGTGGAGAAATTTTTCCTAGTTTCTCTAACAAAATTTACTATCAAATTAAGTTTTTTTCTCATGCATTGTAGCTCCTAATTTTCCATGGTTAATTACGAAAACTGTGTGACTCCATTTTGTTATCTTGGAATTCTCTTATGCTGTCTAATCTTTCGCCAAAAAACCTAACATTTTAACTTGAAATCTTGCTGTCCATCCATCATACACTAAGCAACGTTTTCAGAAAATTTCAAGAAAATATATTCAGTTAACCGGGTTTCATATGAATTCACTCTTTTTATCTGGATAAGTGCAGATACTGTCACTGCTAACTTATCAGATAGCTGAAAAGGGCAAATTTATTCGAAACAGGTCCTTTTTTCTGTTGAAAATTCAAAATGTCAAAGGAAATTTCCAACATAGCAAATGGTGCATTCAGGACAGTTTTTTTACTTTCATCATCATTTTTTCCAAAATATTAGGGGGTTGGAAGAAAGTTGGGTTTTCTTACAACTTCCACTGAAACCTCTTCTGGCCCTTGAAAACAGTTTGAGAACTTTTACATGATCTTACATTTTTACTTTGGTTACATTGGAATATAATACTTTATTTTCATCTTACCCCTGATAAAAATCTGGAGTACCATTTTTATAAAGACTCATCATCACAATATGTATAACAGCCCTCAAAGCAAAAATAAAGATAATCAGTATCTTGTCGAAATCCAGAGAGTTTATGTTCCTCACTGGCTGATAAACTCTGATTCTCAAGGCAAAAATGCAAAGTGAATTCAAATCACGTAACACTCTTGACTTGATTTAAACTGTAAATCCAAGTCATTTCTATCTGTTTTACTTGTATGATTTCTTAACTCACTTGTCAATAGAAGAAAGAAATCAGTGATAATGAGTCCAGAATTGAACTTAGAAGCATCAATACTGTCTTCTACTAAAAGTTGTTGAATATTTACATCCGCTCTGGGTTTAAAGTATAGATTTTTCCCAGTTAACAAACGATGTATCGAGAAAAAATTAATTAGTTAGTACTAGTTATTCCCAATTTGAAGTATGATAATCAGGTACACAAGTACCATAAGTAGGGGTGGTCATTATTATATGTATGTAAGTGATGCTGTTTTTATGGTCTAATTAACCATAAATATCTCATCCATCTACTTATAAAACAAGCAAAAGGCCAACCCTAATGCCCTACAAAGGAAATTGGAACATATCTTACAATCGCCCCTCCCTTAAAAAAAAAAAAGAAGAAAAGACCCAGAACATTGTAAGCAGCAATTCTAAAAATTACGTAGTTCAATTACGTTTATTGGGAAAAAAGTGTGGTATAAATCAATATATGCAAAATTAAGTTAGACAAAAGACCGAGAGCCAATCGGACCGCTTTAAACCGAAAAGAACCAAGCCTTATCAGCTATTGCCAAATTTAATGTGGCAATTTAATTTTTTACATGAAAACGGTTGCACGGATTCTCATACAAATTTCGGTGAGTTTTCTCCATAGTACAAAGCAAATTCCTTACAATTTTTAAAGGAATCCACACAAACGTTCTCTCGTAAAAAAATAATTTGCCCAGTAAAATTTGGCAATAGCTGATGTGGCTTGGTTCCTTTCTGTTAAATGCGGTCCAATTGTCAAACAGGTGAGATTAAAATGACCCTTACAATTTAATATGAAGCTCTCATAGTTAAATGTATTTCTTTTTTTACTTCTGGATCTTAATTCTTTCACCAGAATGATTTAATTTTTAAAATTGATAAAATTTTTCACCTTTTAATGATTCACAAGATTTACCGAAAGAATTGTATCAAGATTTTCTTTTCCATTCTTCTTACAGAACACCCCAGTTACAACTGCCAGCAATGGATGTATATCCGTCGAAGGTGGACCAGGTGATGTTGTTGTAGGTGTGGACCTCGAGAGCGAACTGCGGGAATTTCTAGAATCAGATCCAGCGCTCAGTAGCTTCCCGTTGCATGATGATGTGGACGATAATACAATTGAACAGATGTTGTGCGAGTCTTAACCTCAGAAACCCTCTGTCTTCGATCTTAAATTATTTTGATTTGTATATAAGGTGTTTTTAAAATTCCGACTTGCTCAGAAGAGTCAGGAGATTATCTTTAGTCCACTCCCTCAAGTATTATGTTGATAATTTTTCCCTGTACTTATTTTGTTTGTGTGTATAGTTTTAAAATAAAATCACAGTTTTTTACGTACTTAAGTACTCTTCTCCTTTTTTTCCATCTTCCCATGTAGTGTTAACACTCTCCAACTAGTTTTTTACTCCCAGTTTTTTTCCCCTTAGTTTTAGTTTTAGTTTTTTAGTTCCTTTTGCTAATAACTGTTAATAAACCACCAAGGTGTCTGGTCTGGAAAGTCCAGTAATAGTTCTGATTTTTTGAGGGCACACAGTGGATCGAGTCAATTAGAGTGGTCGGACACGAAATTTTCAACAATAAATACAAATTTTGATGCTTGTTTCGTCACATTTTAAGTTTCAAGGGGTGTTTGTAGAAGAAAATTTCACGAGGAAAACAATGAAATCACTTTCCAATTGACTCGACCCACCGTGGGGCAGTCCAAAAGTACTGGAAAAGTTCGGAAGTTCCCAATAACGGTCCAAAATTTTTTGCATCATGCCACAGGTGTTTATAAACCAGCCTGGAAAAGATGCAATCCGCTGGGCAATGATTCTTAGTGCAGTATTTTCCCGATCGAGAGTGTAAAGCAAATCTATCCTCAGGCCACCAATGAGCTTTGAATTTCCTGGCTACGCCATTTTTCTCGCGATTTGCGCGTGCGTTTCAACAATTTTCGAATTTTGTCACTTAAAGGTACCAAAAAAGTACTGAATTTTCTTGCTTATGAGGTACTGAATTTGTTAAAAAGGCACTGAAAAAGTACTGTAAAAGTACTTAATATTTGCCAGCCAGTTCTAGTAGACACCCTGTTTAAACGACACAAGAAACCTGGTATGGAAAGTTGGCAGTTTTGAAAACGCCTTCAATTGTGGCGTGATACCTCACGCATTCCGGAAGGTACGAATAGTTGTATCGTTGCGCCTTGGCAGTGCCATGGAAGATTATAATACCTATTGAAGTAGCTTCCGCGCTGGCCTTGTCGGTTATTATTTCCTTTGCCGCTGATGCACAGTTATGGCCGCATAGTTTACGTGTGTTCAAGTTAGGATTGGATTTAGCAAATGAATACTTTTTTAGAAAGAATTAAAAGTAAACAAACGGTAAGAAATACAACTGATAAAAGGAACTCAAATCAACAATAAAATACAAGAAAGTACGGTAAAAATTGTGTAGAAAAAGCTGAAATAGAACGCCAACACATCCGAGAGAATTACATGCTTATTATCAACTGGAACAAAAGCTATAAACTAAAAATTGGACGTATTTCTGTCAAACAGAACTAAGTGCCTAATTGAGTTCCCTTTAAGGAATTTAGAATGCCGGATAGCGCGTTCTGTCAAACGGAACTAAGCGCCATGGAAAAGGAATGCGAGTATAGGACGGAATCAGCCCGACGCCCTGTTCCGCCGCCAATCCAAGCCCCCCTCTACCTTCCTCCCCCTCTGGCGGTTAGTTCCGTTTGACAGAAATACGTCCAACAAAAACAAGGAGATGTGCGCATAACTGTTGCACTAGCTCGTAAGATCAGTCATTCCATTCATCTCATGCTCCGAATTTTATGCGACACGAAAATCCTAATAAGAAAAGAAGGCAGTTACCGAAAACGCCTTCAATTGTGGCGTGATACCTCACGCATTCCGGAAGGTACGAATAGTTGTATCATTGCGCCTTGGCGACGCCATGGAAGATTATAATACCTATTGAAGTAGCTTCCGCGCTGGCCTTGTCGGTTATTTCCTTTGCCGCTATTGTACAGTTATGGCCGCATAGTTCACGTGTGTTTATGCTAGGATTGTATTTAGCAAATGGATAATTTTTCTAGAAGAATTAACGGTAAGAAATATAACTGAATAAAAGGAACTTAAACCAACAATCGATTCAAAGGCACCGAAAAAGTACTGAATTTTTCCCGCTCATGAGGTAAGTATATTGAATTTTTCGGAAAGGTACTGAAAAAGTACCGTAAAAGTATACCTAATTTAATGCGCATTTGATTTGCCAGCCAGTTTTATTAGGGACCACGAAATAAGGTACAAAATGAAGCACCAAAATTGAGGGACTTGGTGGACAAGGAGCACAAGTGCTGCAGGTTTTGCTATTTCGAGAAAATATGCGTTTGAAGTTTCAAAATTACATGGATCCTCATGGCGGAAGAAAGTTCAAACTGACTTTTTGATGCTTAAAAATTAGAATTTGGGAGCGAATTTTTCACAGGATAAGCAAACTAGTCTTAACTAGTTTTACTCGAAATCAATGGGTAATTATGTCAATTTTTGAACACCTCGAGGGCGTTCTCAACTGATGACAAAAAGTTTGTCGCAGGTCGCAGTGCCCTGGTAAAAATTGGCGATAGGAGCTGTGTTTCAAAATACCGTAGGAATTTGTATAGCCGGCTAAAGAAGGCTACAGAAAATCAAATAGCATGGCTGTATAATGCGGAGAAAATCATACGGCCGGGCTATGCGAAGCGATAAAAAATTATGAAAAGCCGGGCTATAGTTCCTATCGCCGGGCTTTACACTTTATCGCCTGGCTAGCTTTTTTGCCATCGATTATAAAAGGCTATAAGATATTGTGTAGAGATTCGTGTGCTTTGGAAATCATTAAGTTTGATACGGAACCACCTTAATATTTTTACAAAACACACATTATATTTTCCTTTGATACATATTTTTTTCCATCAATTAAAATGAGAATAATACATACAGGATGTTCAAACATTTCAAAATCATGAGTTGAATAACGCTGACTCCGCCAGATTAAATATTAGAGCCTAATACAAAGCGGAGCGGCAACGCACTGGCGCCTACAAACCTAATAGGGATACTTCACGCATTGCGTAATGCTTGAAGTATCCTTGTTAGGTTTGTAGGCGCTAATGCGCAGCGTACCACGGCGCTTGAAGCAACTATTTCACACCAGAGGTATTGCACAGTATCATACGAAACTGAAGGCGCTCTAATATATTAGGAATGGCAGGCATCCATCAAAAGTACGGAGCTTTCCTCGCAAAATAAATCAAGATACTACGGCCCAAAAAGAGTGCAGCGGTCCAAAAACTCACTAAGTCCTGGCATCCGTAATTAGTGACGTTTAGCATACATTTTATCGTCTGACTGTGAGTTGCTTAGTTCGGCTATAAAAGGCTATTAGAAATTGTGTAGCCGGCTATAGAAGCTATTGGAAATCTTACAGCCGGCCGTAGGTCTATGGTATTTTGGGACACAGATTCTACTGCCAATTTTTACCAGGGTGCTCGCGTTTGTCTTGGCTCACAGCGACGTGTACCACGTGAGTAGATCAAACAAACCCACAGATATGAAAAATTTGCAAAATATAACTTACTAGTTGGAACTGGAAACTGTTTTATTATAAAAGCAGTTTTCCGGTTTCCGGCAGTTTAAGGTTTTCCGACTGAATGCAAACAAAATTTCATGAATGTTTGATAAGCGATTGAAAGATCCAAGTAAGTTTTAAAAAATTCTACTTTTTAGAAGTTTTTTGAATATTAGGTAAGTATTTCCCCCAAAGAATTTAAGCATAAGAATGCTGGAGTAAATCTTTTAAGAGGTTTTGAACCCTTATTTCATCTAAAGTTTCACGGAAAAAAATTATATGTTGATTCAGCATTTTATACTGTTAAAAAGATGTCCGACAAGTTTCAAATGCTGATTTTACAATACAAAAATGCTAACATAACTTTTTAATTTGTACGTTTTGCAGTGGGCACAGTTACGTTAGCATTTGTTAAAATGTAAAATCAGCATTTGAAATTTGTCGGACATCTTTTTAACAGTATAAATGCTATCTCAACATTCAATTTCTTTCCGCGATACCTTGAAAATTGTACTTGAAAAATTGCCCAAAAAGGAATTCCCACACCGAAAACATAAATTTTAAAAGTTCTTTCAACGGATCTAATTATTTTTCGCCAATCTGTAAGCAGCTTAAACCGTCAAAACACGGTTCTATAACAAAGCGCGACCAACCTGTTGTAAACACTTAATATATTCTGTTTCCAAGCTAATTTCCAGTACTCCCGTTGGCGTGATACATTTTCCTTGTAAAATTTTGAAGAGAAAATTACTCGGCGTATAGTGCTTTAATTTATGAGAAGTTCATTCGACAACGGCATACAGGGGATCGAGTCAATATGAGAGGTCGGACATGAAATTTTTGACTAAAACTGCAAATTTTTATGTTAATTTCGTCAGATTTTAAAGTTAAAGGGGTGCCTCCTGAAGAAAATTTTACGAGGCAACCAATGGAACCACTTTCAGAACCTCAAAGCTTCGTATAATTGGAGTTATAAGCGTTTAAAGTTTCCAGATTTTGTCCGACCTCTCCCATTGACTCGATCCACTATTGATTGCAGATTTTTATGTTAATTTCGTCACATTTTATAGTTTAAGGGGTGCTCCGAGAAGAAAATTTCACGAAGCGACCAATGGAATCACTTTCAGGACCTCAAAACTTCGTATAATTGGAGTTATAAGCGTTTAAAGTTTTCAAATTTTGTCCGACCTCACCTATTGACTCGATCCACTATTGCCCGCAAATTTTGATGTTAATTTCGTCACGTTTTAAAGTTTAAGGGGTGCTTCGAGAAGAAAATTTCACGAGGCAACCAATTGAACCACTTTCAGAACCTCAAAGCTTCGTATAATTGGAGTTACGAGCGTTTAAAGTTTCCAAATTTTGTCTGACCTCTCCTATTGACTCGACCCACTGTGCGGCAAAGGAGGATGGACCTCGGCGGGCCCTCGCTGCTCTCAAGTTCAAGAGGAAGGTCAGTTCGTTGCCTACCTGACATAAGGGCGTAACTACACTCTGCAATGAGCCCCGTCCTCCATACAATTCAATGCTTTTCCGGACTCATCTCAATGTGTAGTTACGCCCTCGTGTCAGCCAAGCGACGAGTTGAGCGCGGGCCAGCCAATATCGGAATCCTCCGCTGAAGCCGCTCTGGTTGCTCTCCCGAAACTGGTCGAATCCGGAGGACCTTGGCATTACCGCGACAGGCACGAGGATTCCGATCCGAATAATTATAGGATTTGTGGCGAGCATTTCCTATACCGCGCAGCATCCCGTGTTTTCTACCGTGCTAAGGAGAAACGCCGCACGAACAATCGAAAGTTGCCAAATTTTCTACGATAAAATGTTTGTTTCTGAGGAAAATCGTGAATATTTTCCCTTGGTATTTTCAGCAACTTTTGATCGAATTGCGAACAATATCATCTGAGAAATCGGCAGAAAAATATTCAAAAATTCTCCCGAAAATTAGTGATTCGTCAGAGAAAATTTAGCAACGCCTGAAGGTTCATACGGCGTTCTTCTTTAGCACTTCAGTTTTCGCGACCTCACAACCAGCTTCAGCTTCCCCCACTAAACGAATCTTCGATATAAAGTGTAAACAACCTGCACGGGCCTTATTTCCACCGAAAATCCCTCCGTATCATGTTCTGTCGGATCATTTAACCGGGTCGTGTCCTAACCTATCTTTCCCATCCTTCCCATCCTTCCTTTCAAATCGCCGAAATATGTCTCCGTGCGCGAAATTGTGCGTTTTGGCCCTTCTCGCGTGTGCCGTGAACTCTGCGCCCGTGCCTGAAGAAGAGAGTAATACTCAACTTCCCGAATCAGGCCCCGAAGGGGCTGTCCTTAGCTCGGATGGCTTCGAAGGCGCTCTAGTCCCTTCCGATGCTCAAGTGACCAAGCGACAAGCTGAGGAAGCAGCCGTGGACGACGCTCAAACTCCGGAGGGACAAGGGCTGGAGGCAGGACAGAACTCTGGGGCGTTTTTCGCTCCGGAACAAGGTGCTCAGGACCCAGCCACACTAACCCAGGAGAGCTCCCAGTTCAATGCTGAGGCCGCCATCCCTCAGGGACAGGAGGCCTCCGTGACCAAGCGACAAGCTGAGGAAGCAGCCGTGGACGACGCTCAAACTCCGGAGGGACAAGGGCTGGAGGCAGGACAGAACTCTGGGGCGTTCTTCGCTCCGGAGCAAGGTGCACAGGACCCAGCCACACTAACCCAGGAGAGCTCTCAGTTCAATGCTGAGGCCGCCATCCCTCAGGGACAGGAGGCCTCCGTGAGCAAGCGGCAGGCTGACACTGCTCAAGTCGAGGGACAGGAGACAAGCCAGCAAGACGCCCAGTTCGTCCAACCCGAGGGCCAGGTCGGCTCGGCCAATGACGAGAGCCAAGTCGCTGAAAGTTCTCTCCCGCAACAAGAAGTTACCTCCGTGAGCAAAAGGCAAGTTGAACAACCAGCTGAAGTTCCGCAGGCTGACGGACAACCAGCTGAAGTTCCGCCGGCTGACGAACAACCAGCTGAAGTTCCGCAGGCTGACGGACAACCAGCTGAAGTTCCGCAGGCTGACGAACAACCAGCTGAAGTTCCGCAGGCTGACGGACAATCCATCTCTGCACCCGAGGGACAGTTCTTCGCTCCCCTGAACCAGGAAGCACAATCCCCGGCCGAACCTACTGGTTTGACTCAGGATGACAGTCAGGTCGCTGCTGAGGGCTCCATCCCTCAAGAAGGACAGACCGTGGCCAAGCGACAAGTCCAAGAAGCGCAATCCGCCGATGCCGGTCAAGCTCCAATCGTCCCCGATCTGGAGTCCCAATCTTTCGAGGGCGCTGCCGTAGAACCGCAGGCGGACGCACCAGCCGAGATCCCGACCCAGGACGAAGTCAGCCAAGGAGCAGAAGATGCTCAGTCCAAGCTGACGAAGAGGCAAATAAGTCCCGATCCTTACAATGTCGAGGTGCTCGCCAATAAAGACAGAAAAGAGCCATGCGTAGTTGGTGGTGATGTGGAGAATTGCGATGGGTTCCAGGCAGGTCTGAGGCAAGCTAAGTCAGGTATGTCTCGTTATCTCACACCGTTCATTTAAAGCAATTAAGCAGTTGATATAGTTAACTAGGGGGCTACGCCCCCTGGCCGCTACGCGGCCCTATTTCACCCTCCTATCAGTGTTAGTTTTATTTTTCCCCTAAACAATTACGATATGAGGTATACTTTAATTTTAAACTTTACTTAAAATTACTTTAAAATTAAAAGGACGCGTTTTGGAATGACTGCTTGATGAAATATTACAGTAAAACAATGAACAATGATAGTCAGGTAATAATTAAGATTTATGAGTCGGGGACAGAACCTACACCGAGTTCAAAGTGGACGCATTCAACGTCTTAGACGACTCGGCCACCGCTCGACGTGAGGGTTTCGGTGCGAATCTTGTGTAGATAAGTGTAGAGCTGATGCGCAGACTACACAGCTACTGCGCAATCTCCTCGACCACTGCGCATCCTCCCGCGCATAGCGGTAGCAGTACCGGAGCATTCTATAAACTCACTCACTTTTATAACGTGATTTTAAAAAAACCTGGGTCCTTCTTCCAAAATCTGATTACAGCGGGCTCATCTAGGGCCTATTACCTGTCGATTTACGCAAAAATCATGGAAATCGGCCCGGTAGAACGCTCAAACGAACTATGACAAAAAGTATAAATTTACATTGTTTAAATGGGAGAATTCGCAACTTTACCACGTAGGTAATATAAAAAAACCTGGGCCATATTTTGAAAATCTAAAAAGAGTTGGCTTATCTAGAGACAATTGCCCGTCGATAACCGCAAAAATCATGAAAATCGGCCCGGTAAAACGCTGGAACTAAGCGTTACCAGTTTCGCAAAATTAGGAGGTCTTGGAGCTTATAGTATAGATTGAGGGAAAGATTATGTCAATAAAAAGAAGAGGCATGAATATATTTTTTATACTAGATGAGATACAATATTTATTTTAATAGTAGTAATAGTAACAACTAGGATTTTAAGGTATAGACAATTATATATTGAAAAAAATATAATATTTTCGAAAATCTTAATCACGTTCATAGTCTCTATGTTGATAGTAATTGGATTGAAAAAACTGTAAAATTGTGTTCCCGCCAAATAGCACCGGGTGCGAATAATTTCACTTACACGCGGTAAAATTATTTATGCTGTATCAGGGTGTCTTGCATGTTGTCTGTCAACTGAATGAAGGGGCTCCTCTCTTATTAACATATTACAATAAAATTGCAACAAGCCACAATATTTTCTAGTACTTGACGCAAATTGCTTACGCTTCTTACTGGCAGAACTCATTTTATTGATCCTTTAAAGTAGGCATTCATCGAGCAAATTAGGGGGCCGGGAAAGATGTGAAATTTTATTGCATTAAATTGCAGGTTAATTCAATACATTCGTTGCACTGCGAATCTTGAGCTAATGCTCCAAAATTTGCTCGTTCCAAAATTTCTAGATAATTATGACTTATTTGTCTTCTTCTTCTTCTTCTTTATTTATTTTATTTTTTTTTAAATTATAGGAGTTAACCGTTTTTTAATCCGCGGATTATTGCATGTCTTATTGCCTTTCTGCCATGTTTACCGAAAGATATTCTTTTTTGATCGGTTTTTACTTCGAAGAGTTTAAGTGAAAACGTAAATTTTGATATACCATAATCGAGATATGACGATTTTTTTTTTAAACATCGATACGAAGTTGAAATTGAAAATATAAATTTTTCTCATAACTGATATGACCAGGATTTAGGTATAATGTGCCGTTTTACCGCCTTGAAAAATGAGTGCGTCAAGGAGTATATGAAAACTATTTAGATGTGAATTGCTAATTAAAATTGAAGTCTCGACTGAAACTAAAAATCTTTTGACTCTTTGAGGATTTTTTTTATTTTTATATTTTTTCGTAGAGTTATTATTAGCTGTTTTTAGACGGATTTCAGCTTTTTTTATGGACTAACTCAGGTAGTCATGAAGTTTTTAGAACAAGGAGTCTAACTTGAGAGAGCTTTGTGGGTCTGTCCTAGAAAATTTTGAAAAACTGGCGGATTCTCACAAATTATTTTAACCTAATATAGGGTAGAAAATTCACTTTACCAAAAGGTCATAATTCTGGAGCAAAATCACGTACAAAAAGCACTTTCAGGAGTATTAAAACATCGAAAAAGCTTAAAACTTCCAGCCTTTGGCCCTCGATTCTCAGGTCTCGGCGCAACATTAGTTACGTCACCTTAGGGTAGGCTGATCATACAACTATTTAACTGTGTCTTTAATACAAATTTTTCATACATTTCAAACAAAATTTTGGAGTTGTGTTGCGTATTTTGCTGCTCACTTGCAGGTGTTTAGCAGTATAATGAAAATTTTTAAAATTTGTCAAAATATTGATGACACTTTCTTGGTACCTAACTTTGTTTTGCAGTAAATTTCACACTTTTACTAAGAAAAAAACCAAAAGGCTTTTCAAACTCGTGTATTTTAACAATAGTTTACATTTCGATGGCCAAAGTATGTATCCGTTTGCGACGTTGCATAATTTCCGCCAAACTTTATATTTTCTTTGTCAAACTAGTCAACGTAATTTCTTGAAAATTTCCTTGATTTATCTTCTCTGTCATCATATTATCTAAAAAAATTTCAAGCTATACCTACAGTTGGCTTGCTTCTCTTAGAAAAAATAAAATTGGAGCGGAAATTTTGAAACACCGCAATGCCTTACGTGGTTTTACACTTTGGCCAGCGATTTGTCTAAAGTCCAAATCTGAGAGTCAATGCTACCAGGGTTGTCGAACTTTTTAAAAAGTCCGTTTTTTCCGGGTATGATTTTATTTTGCAGATGAAGCTAAAAGACCCAAAAGGCAAGGCAGTTTCGCTTCTGCCAGTTCCGGAACGGATTACGGTGGTTTTGGCGGGTATGGGGGTGGATCCGAAAGTGAAGCCCAGAGCCAATCGGCTAGCTTCAGCCTTGGACCGTTTCAGGCGAGTTTCTCGGAAAGTGAAGCTAGCTCGCAGAGTGGAAATCAGGGATACAACAACTACGGTGGAGGATACGGCAACGGGGGGTAAGTTCAGAAACCGTAAAATCTTCCAGATATATTGTGCTCAAGAAGCAGTGATCGCGATAAGTTGGGATTTGATCGGAAAATGTATCTCGAATACATCGACGTCGTTTCATTGCAATATTATCAAGTAAAAAAATTGCGATTTTATTGTATGAACTGCTATAAAATCATTAAAATCGCGATTTTACCGACGACGATTTATCGCAATATTATCGAACAAAAATTGTGATAAATTGAAATGAAATTCCGATTTTATCCAAAGCGATTTCATAGAGATACAATATATGAGAATAATCGCTCAGATGGTGATGATCCTAGCAATTTTTTCGATCGAGATAAATTGAAATAAAATCGCGATTTTATCGACGACAATTTATCGCAATATTATCGAACGAAGATCGTGATAAATTGAAATAAAATCGCGATTTTACTGGCGACAATTTATCGCAATATTATCGAACAAAAATCGTGATAAATTGAAATGAAATTCCGATTTTGTCAAACGCGATTTCATAGAGATACAATATTGAGAATAATCGCTCAAATTTTGATGATCCTAGCAATTTTATCGCCAAAACATCGTAAAATAATCGCAACTTAATTTAAAAATATCGCGATTTATCCGTTGAAAGATGCTGCTCGGGTGGTCGAGAAGGGAAGAACGCTTCCTGCAACTGTGATAATTCTTAAATTCTGGAAACGCCTAAGTGGTATTTGTACTAGTATTTAGTTGTGGTCAAAAGTGCCATTAAATGAGTCGGAACTTGACAGCCATAAGTGGCATTGACTGGTAAATTTGGACTTTAAAACATTATTAGAGTGTACGAGCAGCTGGAAAACCATTGTTGTCGGTCCTTTTTCAAGTAAAATTCATGTAGTATGCACATTTAAATAAAGCTGTAAGAAAACCAATTTGCATCAGAATTCCGTTCAGTTCTACCAAGTGAACTTGGTAAATTGTCTGGTAAACTGATGAATATTTCTCCATATAATTATGCCCGTAACTGAATCTAAAGTGTCTGAAAATTTAAAGGAACTTTCCTCAAAAATAAATATTTTATCAGGAACATCCGGCAACATTCGAATGTTTATATGACGCTCTCCCTTACCAGACTAGATGAGTAGCTTGTGGCACATAATCAAAATATTCCATAAAAATGTCGAGGTTAGGATGCACGGGTAGCTTTATCCTCAAAATTTAGCGGACCGCTATATTTTAAGGAGCTACTTCCGTCATGCGCAGAAAACTAACCTTGACATTTTGATAAAATATTTTGATCGTGTGACACAGGCTTATGTATGAGCTACGGATGAGCAGAATGGACGGCTAGACAAGGCTCGAACTAGAAAAACACGTCGTATGGTTTTCCTTCAAAAGTTAACGTAGAAAATTACCTATTCACACAGCGATAAGTTCGGAAAGGAACTCCCAAACGAGGTATCAACAAGTGTTTTAATTACAGATCAAATGGATCGCGTTACGTAGAAAGCAGCCAAGTCACATCAGCTATTGCAAAATTTAATTGAGCCGATTAATTTTTTACATGAAAACGGTCGTGCGGATTTTTGTGCAAATTTCAGTGAATTTTCTGCTTTAGTATACGAAGCAAATTCTTAAACATTTTCAGAGGAATCCGCATGAATTTTCTCTCGTAAAGAATTAAATTGCCCAATTAAATTTGGCAATAGCTGATATGGCTTGATACGGATATAGCAGATATGGCTTGGTTCCTTTCTGCGAAACGCGGTCCAAATGGAAGTTACGTTTCACAAACTACGTCGTTTGTTTTTTTGTCATTTGACCAGTTTTAATTTTAAAAGCTTATAATTTGTTTAGGAGTTTATTTTTAGACACCCCGTTGAGTGATTTGTTTTCCTCGTAAAATTTTGAAAATAAAATACGCAGCGTAGTGACTTAATTCTTACCTTGTCTGATGTCCCATTATGGAGTACAGTGCCGAACGATTGAGTTGATCCGTTTCAACCAATCAGAGCACGTAATTTTCCGTCCGGCAAAAAAGAAGAAGAAGAAGTGTGTAGTAAACATCAACAACTGGCGTTGAAGCCTGATCCCAAGAATGAGGAAAACACGTATTGCGTTTGCATTGACTTCCCTCCATTTTTCCAGATTCCGTAGCGGAGTGGACAACAACGCACAGTGGTTCGAGTCAATCAGAAAGGTCGGACATGAAATTTTTGACTAAAACTGCAAATTTTGATGTTTATTTCGTCGCATGGCGAATTTGAAGGAGTGTCTCTAAAACCAAATTTCACGTGAAAACCGATGAAGCCACTTTTAAGACCCCAAAGTTCCGTATGAACGGAGTTATAAGCTTTTAAAGTTTCCAAATTTTGCCCGACCTTCCTCATTGACTCGATCCACTGTGCGATGTCGGTAGCCGATCGAGACTGGACTGACAGTGCGACTGAGGGTTCGAACTTCGAATCCCACTTCAGCACCGCAGTTTTCAGTAGATGTCAACGCACTTATCGTCTTCCCAAGTAGCAGTGATCGGTTGGTTATCGCGATTATATCGGTAGGAATACACCGAGATATTATCGCATTAAAAATTGCGATATATGGCGATTAAATCGCTTCACATCGCAATTTTTGGTTCGATAAAGTCGTGATCAATTTTCGTCGATAAAAGCGAGATTGAATCGCCATTAATCGCGATTTTTATTTCGAAAATATCGCGATAAATTGTCGGGCTATAAAAGCCTGATTTTATCGCGATAAGATTGAGGATAATCGCTCAGATGTTGACGATCCTGGCGATTTAATGGGCCTGTTGCAAACTTTTGCTATATCAAAACTAAGATTTGTTTCTTATAGATAATGCCTCAAAAATCACGATGAGCGCATTGGCAAAGTCTGAAATGCACTCATAACTTCACAATCTGCGTAAGAAATTTGCGGTTTTTTGAGCTTCCCGCTTCAAAAACGATACTACGGCACAGGTGAACATTTTGTTAGAGGAGGCGTTCCATCGTCGGCAATATTCATCATGGCCGACGCCAATTCGCCAAAACACGTATGATGAGACGAGATAACACCTGAACAGCATTAGACCAGATAACAATCGGCGTGTTTACGTTCATATTTTCCTCGCCCGCCTTGATTGACCCTGAACTCACCTCGAATTACGCGCGGAACTGCGGAAGCGTCGGCCATGATGAACATTGCCGACGATGGAACGACTCTTCTAACAAAATGTTCACCTGTGCCGTAGTATCATTTTTGAAGCGGGAAGCTCAAAAAAACGCAAATTTCTTACGCAGATTGTGAAGTTATGAGTGCATTTCAGACTTTGCCGATGCGCCCATCGTGATTTTTGAGGCATCATCTGTAGGAAACAACTCTTATATTTGCTCTAGCAAAAGTTTGCAACAGGCCCATTGTCGATAAAATCGCAATATATAGCGATTTTTCCGTTGAGAAATATTACTTGGGACTGGGGGGTGCAATGTGCATCAAGTAGTGGATCCGCAGCTGAATCTTTTGAGATCACCAACGCGACTTTAGCGGTTTGGATGAAATCGAGTCGAAAGGTTTAGCGTTCTTGTTTATGAAAATCGTTTGAAACAACTCAACTTCCCATCAACTCAAACACGTTTTAAGGACTTATCAAGATCGGAACTTAATTCACAGAATGGACCGACTCAAGCTGGACCCCTTCACCGAATTCGTTTTCAACTATAGGACGGGACGCGACGCGGACACGCGTGGTTTCGATCGCGAAAAAGTGCCTTCAGTTACCTAGTTATGCTAAACGCCCGACAGGATAACACTAATGAATATGAATTCTGCCGTGTTATGGAAGAACGCCGTATGAACATCCGAGATTTGCCAAATTTCCTTCGATACAAGGTTCATTTTTAAGGGAAATTATACATATTGTCCTTTGACATTTTCAGGGGCTTTAGGTTAAATTGCAAACAAACTTATCTGAAAAATCGGAAGAGAAATATTCTTACATTTACCAGGAAATTCGTGTTTCATCAGAGGAAATGTGGCAACGCCTAAACGCCCCCGCCCCTCATACTGCGTTTTTCCTACGGCAGAATTAATAGTCGTATCACTGTTTGATAAGTACATCGCTTGATTTGAACTTTGAAGATATCGTCACCTTCCAGGCAAAGTATCACAAGCGCCATGCGACGTTTAAAAATTTCCTCCGCCATTTTATTTTTTTACAGAGAAATTGTTCAACGAAGCTGTCCGGAAATTTCACTGAATTTTCTTTGTGCTGCCGATAAAATTTAGTGAAATTTCCAAACAGATTCAACCAACAATTTCTCAGTAAAGAAATGAAATGGCGGCGGAAATCTTTAAACGTCGCATGGCGCTTGTGATACTTTGCCTGGAAGGTGACGATATGACATTATTTGAGTATAGTACTTGTCGTTTTGATACACTGGTTCCTCTCTGAAAAATCCAATCGTCTGAAGGAAGCAAATAAACTCGAATTTAAATTCAAAATTTCGGATTAAATACATTTTTTAATATTTTTTTTTTTTTTTTGAAAATGCTTTTTTTTGAGTGACTTGGCCATTAAGATGAACCGTCGATTCAATTGCCGTAAAAATCGCGATTCTCTCCTTCTGCTGCATGCGATCCAATAATAATAAATCGCACAGGCAGGGTAACTATTGAAAGTCGAAAACTTATTCTGTGGCCATACCACTGCAGCGCAAGTATATCGCTATCGCATAAGGCACTAGATTCCTAACCGGATTAAATTCCGTGAATACCAAATTACTTCTTCGAACTGAATGTAAATACGAGATTATTTAAACAGCGAGTCCCCTTCCTGCCTCCTCAAGAGGACCATTCAAAATATGTTCTTCCGTGTAGCTAGTGATTCAGAAACACCGGCATTGAGATGAGATGCTCTAATTATATATGAAAAAAAACCTGTTTATTTCCGAACCGATTGATATTTTGAGTGCACTGTTGCCAGACAATGCTGGAATATCAGCACTTTTCCCCTTTTGACCCAACGTAAAAAGTTCACATTATACTGCGCAATCTGACAACCTTGTTCGAGTATGCAGAACCACCTCTCATGAATATACATGTATTGTTTGTTTCAGCTTCAACGACTACTGACACTGAATGATCCACCCACTGCTACTTCTGCTCATCGATGACCAGGGTTGCCAAATCCTGAAATTCCTCAACAATTTTCCCAATCTCCATGTGAAATTCAAGAGTTTTTTCGGAAGCCGAACAGCCCTGAGACTCATCCGTTTCTAGTCTTGTCATTCCTACTACGAACTGCGGCTCGCCATGTCTCGAGCCTCCTCATCGATCAACTCCTCCACTCCTGTACATATTTATTTAATTTAAGTATTTATTTTTCCTATTAAAAAAATCCTCAGTTTGACTCTTTTGTTATTGAATCCGCTCTTCATGAATTTCACTCTTCATAGCCATTTTGCACTCATAAGTATAAAAAATCTATCACAAAAAAACCCGCATCCCACAGATCACTCAATTGACTTTTGAGGCGATGATTACATGTTGAACCAATCGATATCGATACAATCTCACACTGGTAAAAAAAGCACATTGGATCTAGAGTCCAGACTCTTGAAAACATTGACAAGAAAATGGACTCTTGATTCAATCAGATTTAAGCTTAAATCAATAAGAGCCAAGCCTCTTAATTTGAGCGGATTTCCTCTTGATTTAAGCTTAAATCTGATTGAATCAAGAGTCCATTTTCTTGTCAATGTTTTCAAGAGTCTAGACTCTAGATCCGATGTATTTTTTTTTACCAGTACACCTGTTTGATGTATCGAATACTGTCCATTATATACGATAATTTTCCTCTTCGAAAATATACAATGTAAGTGACAAAGTTGCACCTATTCCTTAGATGAGTTTCTGTAAGCCAGTATACGAGACGTGCTTGTTGCATCACGAACTTCTGAAGGGGATTCTGAGGGGGACTTTGAACTTGGAAATAATCTGAAACGTACATGCTCTCTCTCAAGCCGCTCGACGTGGATATGAGTGTCGTGCTTGTTGCATCACTGAGTGTAGAAGGCTCCTATGACTTCGTTCCTGTATGTACAAGATTGACACATCTCCTGGGTGCGTTTTGATTATCGAAAAATTGTTCTTCGTTTTATTCAAACTTATTTTCAGATACGCGGAGAAAAAAACTTCGTGCGTGAGACTCGAAGTTGAGGTCATATATATCTCTGAAATTTTCTGATCACGTAATTAAAAACTTGAGGTCGAGCTGCTGAAGTTCGGGTCAGACATCTGAAGTACTTCGATATATACCGAAGGGGTCGAGTCACACATCTGAAGTACTCCGGTACATACCAGAGTGCCTCGATGTCTGACCCGAACTTCGGCAGCTCGACCTCAAGTTTTCGGATGCGTGATCAGAAAACTTCAGAGATCCATATGACCTCAACTTCGGGTCCCATGCACGAAGTTTTTTTCTCCGTGTACGGACGACGCACAGAGGATCGAGTCAATTAGAGAGATCGGACGTGAAATTTTTGACAAAAACTGCGAACTTTGATGTTTATTTTGTCACATTTCAAACTTCAAGGGGTATTTTGGGAAGAAAACTTTACGAGGAAACCAATGGAACCACTTAGACGACCTCAAAGTTTTGTATGAACGGAGTCATGAGCGTTTAAAGTTTCCAAATTTTGTCCGACCTCTCCTATTGACTCCATCCACTGTGCGACGCGACGTTAAGCTCGCTGAGCCTTGTCCTTTCTTTGAAGTGTGATATCACCTCATTTTGAGGTACATGCAGGGAAAAGAGCGGTTCTTTTTTTTATTATTAGTCCGGAAAGGGACTAAGGAAACAAAGAGTTTTCAAAATGGCCGAAAATTTGTTTTTTTTTTTTAAATCTAAGATCAAATTTGTTAATCTCATGCTAAAATACCCCAAAATTCCAAGTTTTAGGCAAATCCATCAGCAAAAAACCGAGGTGGCAATTTTCGGCCATTTTGAACTTTAACCGACGGCCATTTTAGAAATTTCGGTTTTTTTTTAAAATCCAACGTCAAATTCGTTTTTCTCATGTCAGAATACCTCGAGATACCGATTTTTGCGCAAATCCATCGAGAAATAATCGATGTGAAGTTTCGGTCATTTTGAACTTTAACCGGCCGCAATTTGAAAACGGTTTGAGATATTGACTTCGGGTTTGCGCGAAAAAAAATGCTTTTTTATGCTCTTTCGAACGAGTTATTACAAAGGGGGTCTTCCCATTTGAAAAATAAATTGGGCTCCGTTGCCACCCGAGGGGAGCCCCCCCTGAAAATTTTAGGGGGGCCAAAAAGTAGCTCCCTTTGACCTAGGGACATCCCCCAAGTTTCAAATCTTTACCTCGATCAGGTAAAAAGTTAGAGGGGGTGGAAGGGACTTTTGGATCACCCTGTATACATTTTGGAAACAAGAGCTCTAACTTACTCTGAATGTGTACTGTTGAATTTTTGCCACAGGTTAAGTCCGCAGGAAGACGTAGATGATATAATTCAACGATGAGTTCAATCAGAATCATCCCAACTACATCAGACGTTGCATAATCTCTTTTTATAGTTTATTTTTTTCAACAGAAAGTTAACATCATTTTGACTTGATATTTTGACATTTCATTCTTCACACGATAGGGGCAATTCAAAGAAAGTTCAAAGGCGTTATATGTTGTTCAGTTATTTGTCCACAAAATAAGACGAGGAAGGGAATCAGACATCGTGCAGTGCAGTGAGACTGCGATTCTGGTGTTATCTGCCCCATATAGCCGTCCTAAGGAAGAACTCCGTATGAGCTTTCAGGCATTGCCAAATTTCCTTTGATAAAACACGAATTTCATTGTGCACTTATGAATATATATATCTCTTTCAATTTTTCAGATAATTTTGCTCGCAATTTCACCGAAATGTCCTAAAAATTTTAAGGAAAAATATTCAAAACTTCCCTAAAAAATGAACATTTTGTCGATGGAAATTTGGCAATTCTCGAATGTTCATGCAGCGTTCTCCCTTAGCACGTAGCATAATTCGTAAGTAACCTACGCAAAATGGAGAAGGGAGCGCTGACATCGTGACATCGATAATAATTAAAGAATTAGTAGAAGATCAAACCAGCAAACGTAAAGTAGTAACATTACGATAATTTATTTACACAACATTACACTTAAATACATATAAATCTGACTTAATTTTTGTTTGATTTACATGGAAAATCAGAGTGTCGCAAATCATTGCCGTATTTAACGGAGGAAGGCACGTTTTCAGTCTTAAGGATTCAGAGAGCGAAGAGCCATAGTGCGGCTCAAACGATTGGATCGAAATCAAACAGGAAAGAAAGCATTAGAAAATCGGTAGAACTCTTTGAGAGAGCCTAGCTAAAAGTAAATGAGATGGAAAATGAGTACGACTTACACTATTGTGAGCACATAATTGCAATGGTAACTCTGAGTAATTGGTATGAGTGACATAAATGGATGTTCATGATGAAGAATTCGAAAGTGAGTAAATAGCAAATAGGACGTATTTCTGTCAAACGGAACTATGTGCAATATGAGGTGAGCTCTGTTGTACATATATTCTTATGGGTCTCAGGGCTCATGTCCTAACGCACATAGTTCCGTTTGGCAGAAATAGTCCAATTCTTGAAGCGTTGGTAACGGATTATTTCACGAGTAACTGCTCTTCTTCCGTGCTGACAAAAAACCACGTATATAAATAGGTTGTTGCCAAATTTTTCCCTCAAAATTGAATTATCCAGAAAACCTGAGTATCTTTTTCGTAAAATTTTCAGAGAATTCTATTCGCAGTCCGATTCATATTAATCTAGATATTATAGAGGAAAATCCGAACAAGTTTTCTAGAAGAAAAAAAGTATCTTTTTTAGGGAAAATCTTGGCAACATCTCAATACTCATAAGGACTACATCTTACAATCAGGACTACAAATTCTGACTCATTCTATAAACAACGCATGTGCCGTAGATTTCCCTATGCACATGCGTGCTTTTGCGGATGAGCCGCAGAGGCGGATCCAGCAATTTGACAACACTGGATTTCCCCCATTTAAACCCATGCTAAATAATCGATTCTTGTCTGAGCACCTGGCCCCTCCAAGAATCGATACATCTCCATAGGTTTAAATGGAGAAAAGACAGTGTTGCCAATTTGCTGGATCCGCCGATGATGAGCCATGAATTGTAGTTCCTAACTGCAAAATGTAGTCCATGTATCATTCTTCCCCAGCACGTTAGCTCAGAGTAACCATGAGCCATACATAGAGAGAATACAGTATCTGCATGCTCTCTATGTCCACGCTCTAGGCGCTTACAACAAGTTGCTCTTAACGGCCCTGGTGATAGGGAAGGGGGTGCCATCGCACATTCCCTTGAAGTCATCGAGGGACAAGTCGACGACAGCGACTCCACCGTAGTTCTTGTTGCGGGCGAAGAGAGCCTTGGCGGCGGCCTGTTCGGGGTCCTCATAGGAAACCCAGATGCCGTCCTCCTTTCCGGGGAGGCGGTAGGCGTAGGCTCCGGCGCGCTTGGAGGGGTCGGGCACCTTGCGGAGGAGAACGCCGTCGACCTTCGCGGAGGAGGAGGTGACCAGATGGGGGCAGATCTCGTAGTAGGAGAGCAGACCTTCCGTCTTCGTGTAGGTGCCTTCCTTGCCCTTGCCGTCGGCCACTAGGGGCGGTTGTCCGGTCTTCCCGCTGTCGGAGTCGATGGCCCAGGTGCGACCGAACGTCGGCACGCCGATTATGATCTTGTCCGCTGTGACAGACAAACGGAAATGAAATTAGTGGAGTCGAGGAGAGGGACGCCTTGAGGCAAAGCTCAACAATTTAAAATAAGAGTACTTCAAGGATACTTGAGAGGTGAGAAAAAAATTATTTTGTGCATCGTAGCTTAGCTTTAAATTGGATTTCATTTTGCAATAAGAAACCACTCGTTTTGGCTCATCCATAAAAGCACCTATATCTTCGTAGGAACGTCAAAGGGTGAGAGGAGGAGGGAGAGTAGGAAGTAGGAGATGAAGCAGAAGAAGATGAAAATGTTGAAAACGGAAAAAGAGGAATAGGAATTGCCAATTTTTAACAGAATTATTTTTAAAATGAGCTCAAAATATTGGTTTCTAATTGCAAACTGTTGTCCAAAGGTCCATCCGTTGGGCAAGCTCGGTTGCATGAACCGAAGATATACAGGCCGTGAAATTGATATTATGAACACACACGGAAAAGTACGCAGAGCACAGCCCGAGTAGCAGTGATCGCAATAAGTTGAGATTCGATGAGAGAGTGTATCGTAATTTCAAAGACGTCGATTTATTGCAGTATTATCGGATAAGAAATTGCGATAAATTGCGATTTATAAAATAAATTTGCACTAAAATTGCGATTCTGTCGACGGCAATTTATTGCAATATTATCACAGAATATATAGGCTTCACCAACAGGAGGCTCACTCCCAGCGTGCCTCGGTCGAAGAAGAAGAACACACCTAGAAAGCATTGTTTACATTTTGCCTCAAGTCCGCAGCTTGGATGACCTTCAACGCTGTCGGTTTGTTTGGCGAAACGCGCTCCTTCCTACCTCCATTTTCTACCTGAACGCATTCACGTGGCAACGTTGCAGAGCCGCTGGAGAGCCCTGGTAAAAATTGGCGTTAAGAGCTGTGTTTCAAAATACCATAGGAATTCTTATAGCCGGCTAAAGAAGGCTACAGAAAATCATATAGCTGGCTGTAGAATGCGGAGAAAATCATACGGCCGGGCTATACAAAGCGATAAAAAATTATGCAGCCGGGCTATAGTTCCTATCGCCGGGCTTTACACTTATCGCCTGGCTGTTGCTTTTTCGCCATCGATTATAAAAGGCTATAAGAAATTGTGTAGAAATTCGTATGCTTTGGAAATCATTAAAGAGCTTGATGCAAAAACGGCTTTTTTCGCCCCCCCCCTCTGGAAGTTCTTCAGACTTTGTCTATTGATTACTCATACTTGAGCTCTTCTTTTCCCAAATTTTCAGACCCCCAAACAATTTTGGGGGGGAGCTAGGGGGGATGGAAGTCAAAACCTGTGAACCTCGATATCTCTTGAACAAAGAAAGATATCGAGGTCCGGTTTGGACAAAAATCGCCTAAAATTGCATACTCTAAGATTCTAAAGGTCGAAATCCCGATATCACATTTTTAAGTCAACATATGTGCTTTTTTCCAGTTTTTAGGTCTAGAAAATTTCTTTTAAACGAAAAATTTACAAAGATCTCAATTTTTTAATTGAACCAAAACCAGTTTTTTTTAAATTGTTCGTCTTTTTCCGCATCCAACGAGTGGTCGTATAAGCTGGGGAACCAAACGGTTCCGGAGTTATGATCGATTGAAGTTTCCGCTCAACGCGCGCCGACCGATTTTCGCGCGCAAAAAAGTCGGATTTGACCGTTATTAAATCAGATTTAATGTTCAAACTGAGCAAAATGCATTATTAGGGACTCTTGAGGGTCGCTGAGTTCAGAAATTACCGATACTTCCAAATAATTTACGTTTTTAAAATTACAGCTCCGCAGCGCTAATTTAGAGGTCTACTGAGCGCCGACCGGCCGCTCAGTGGTCCTGTCCGAAGCTGCAATTTTAAAAACGTGAATTTTTTAGAAGTATCGGTAATTTCTGAACTCAGCGACCCTCAAGAGTCCCTAATAAGGCATTTTGCTCAGTTTGAACATTCATTCTTATCTAATAACAGTCAAATCCGACTTTTTTGCGCGCGAAAATCGGTTTGCGCGCGTTGAGCGGAAACTTCAATCGATCATAACTCCGGAACCGTTTGGTTCCCCAGCTTATACGACCACTCGTTAGATGCGGAAAAAGACGAACAATTTAAAAAACTGGTTTTGGTTCAATTAAAAAATTTAGATCTTTGTAAATTTTTCGTTTAAAATAAATTTTCTAGACCTAAAAACTGGAAAAAAGCACATATGTTGACTTAAAAATGTGATATCGGGATTTTGACCTTTAGAATCTTAAAGTATGCAATTTTAGACGATTTTTCGTCCAAACCGGACCTCGATATCTTTCTTTGTTCAAGAGATATCGAGGTTCACAGGTTTTGACTTCCATCCCCCCTAGCTCCCCCCCAAAATTGTTTGGGGGTCTGAAAATTTGGGAAAAGAAGAGCTCAAGTATGAGTAATCAATAGACAAAGTCTGAAGAACTTCCAGAGGGGGGGCGAAAAAAGCCGTTTTTGCATCAAGCTCTTTGATACGGAGGCACCTTAATATTTACAAAACACACATTATATTTTCCTTTAATACATATTTTTTTTCATCAATTATAATGAGAATAATCCATACAGGATGTGCAAACATTTCAAAATCATGAGTTGAATAACGCTGACTCCGCCAGATTAAATATTAGAGCCTAACACAAAGCGGAGCGGTGACGCACTGGCGCCTACAAACCTAACAGGGATACTTCGCGCATTGCGCAACGCGTGAAGTATCCATGTTAGGTTTGTAGGCGCCAATGCGCAGCGTGCCACGGCGCTTGAAGCAACTATTTCACACCAGAGGTATTGCACAGTATCGTACGAAATTGAAGGCGCTCCAACATATTAGGAATGGCAGGCATCCTTCAAAAGTACGGAGCTTTCTTCGCAAAATAAATCAAGATACTACGGCCCAAAAAGAGAGCGGTAGTCCAAAAACTCACTAAGTCCTAGCATCCGTAATTAGTAACGTTTAGCATACACTTTATCGCCTGGCAGTTGCTTAATCGCCATCGGCTATAAAAGGCTATAAGAAATTGTGTAGCCGGATGTAGAAGCTATTGGAAATCTTACAGCCGGCTGTAGGTCTATGGTATTTTGGAACACAGATTCTACTGCCAATTTTTACCAGGGAGTACAAAACGCGATACATTGGAGTAAACGGGAGTGAACCTTCTACTGGTGAAGCCTATATTATATTCTGTGATATTATCGAATAGAAATTTGTGATAAATTGGAATAAAATTTCGATTTTATCAAAAGCAATTTTCCCGAGATAAAATTTCGACGAGATCGAGGATAATCGCTCGGATGTTGATAATCCTAGCGACTTGATCGCCGAAAAATTGTAAGGAAATCGCAACTTAATTTCAGAATAGCTGAAAATTTCCGTTGAAAAATTCTACTTGGAAGCACTTGCAATGCATACGATCCATAAATGACACATTCATTGAAAAATTCCCACCTCCACCTCAGTGGCGTGGCTTGAATAATCGATCATCGATATCTCGCCATTTGAAATTATTATGGTAAAGAATTGATTACTAAGGTGTTCGCTGCGAACACCCTGATAATCGATCTTTTTTCATAGGTTTAAATGGCATAACAATCGATTTATCGCAATTCACGCCACGCCACTGCTCCACCTCCACTTCAAGAGGCTCAAACTTTACTTCGCGAGTGGCAAGGCGTGAATGATCGATTATCGATATTTCCCCATTTGAAGCTATGGCAAAGAATCGATCATTAAGGTGTTTATGGATAAATCTATCGATACGTCGCAAATCACGCCACGCCACGCGAGCCCCTAACACCCCCCCCTCCCCCATAATTAAATTATGACGCAATTAATTTACTCAGCCGGGAGAAAGAAAATCATGGATTGCGTAGGCGGACAGTCCTGCCAACATACTTAAAATCATCGTTAAGCACGGTACGCTCTGACTGAAGAATCGATAATATTGTTCTGATCAGTAATCAATTCCAAGGCTGATTTTTACGACCGAAAGACGAGTCCTTCGCGTCTCATCTGCCTCACTGTCGCGCAGCTGCGGAGTAATCGTTAGACAAATGGACGTATATTTATGCTAAACAGTGGCGTGGCGTGCTTTGCGATATATCGATTGTTATGCCATTTAAACCTATGGTAAAGAATCGATTATTAAGGTGTTCGCTGCGAACAACCTGTTTATCGACCCTTTTCCACAGGTTTAAATGACATAACAATCGATATATCGCAAAGCACGCCACGCCGCTGATGCTAAAAGGAGCTATGTGCATAGAATTTGCGTGCAACATAGTTCCTTTTAGCATAAATACGTCCAAATGTGAGGTGACGTCATCCTTACCGCGGGGCACGGTTGTTGTCAACCCGACTAATTTTTTCCACGTGCATGGTAATGTCGTCACCTTCCGGCCAAAGTATCAAAAGCGCCATGCGACGTTTAAAAATTTCCGCCGCCATTTTATTTTTTTACTCAGATATTTTTGGTTGAATCTGTTTGAAAATTTCACCGGCAGCACAAAGAAACTTCGGTAAAATTTTCGGACAGCTTCGTTGAACCAATTTCTCCGTACAAAAATAAAATGGCGGCGGAAATTTTTAAACGTCGCACGGCGCTTATGATAATTTGGTCGGAAGATGACGATATTGTTACGATTACGGGCATTGGGAATGAACACAGTGATATTGTCAGAACAGAATTACCAAACTTAAAAACGAAAAAATTTGTGTGAAATGATGACGAAAAAGTTGATTGGATGGAGCTACCATTCAATTTTAGGGGAGGACTGTTGGCAGTGTTCATTCTACAAAGTTGGCAACATTGTATTCTTCCATGTAAATCCATTGAATATATCGATAATAGGCGAGGGAAGTTGCTTCACCAAGAATCGATTGTTTTGCATGCATTTAAATGGAAGAAGAACAGTGCTGCCAACTTTCAAGAATCGTTGGACGTTATATCTTTCCAAAGACAAGGAGTAGTCTTTAGAAATTATTTCGCTTGGAGATGGTCACCGACTAAACGCTTCATTTTTACCGATCTCTGGCCTCGTGTGGTTCAGTATGATCAAATCTTTATCAACTAATATGAGCTGCGTTTAGAAACTGTGTTTGTCGGTACGCCTACTTTTCTGCGGTGGCGTTAAAGTCTCTGTAGTGATTTCTACATTNGAGACGTAGGGGACGCCCAGTGAGAGGTTGGCGACAGGGGGTGTTAAATGAGATAAGAGATTGTCAACTCCCTGATGACCTGTGGGAAGACCGAGCTTTGTGGCGATTAGGCGTCGCACAGCGCCAAAGAGCGCTATAAAAGCGACTCATATATATATATAACTTGGGTTTGACATAAATTAAAAAATTCAACCGTACGATTAGGCGACCTCTAGACCCGTGGCTCCAGTTACGGGCATTTCGCTAGTTAAAGTATGTTTACTGGCTGTTACGTAAATTGCGGGGTACGTAAGTTACGCCAAATAGGGGGGAAAAGCAAGTATTTTTAAAAAATTAAATTTAGATTCAAAGTGTATAACCTTAGTCGCATTACGAGGTCAAAGCCGATAACTGTGTTATTTATTAAGAAAATCCCGAAACATTGGAGACGGCCGTTTACAGTGGCGTGGCGTGAATTGCGATATATCGATTGTTATGCCATTTAAACCTATGGTAAAGAATCGATTATTAAGGTGTTCGCTGCGAACACCCTGTTTATCGATCCTTTTCCATAGGTTCGAATGGCATAACAATCGATATATCGCAATTCACGCCACGCCACTGGGCCGTTAATTTTGTCCGCTCAATCAAAATATCACATCTGAGGAACACAAACTAGCATTTCTGACTAGTTTTTCCCGTCACAGGTCGTAAAAGCTCTATGATTACTCCTTGCAGTGTTGCGATGTTGCCGCGTGCGTGGTTCGTGGGCTAAATCAAAGCTAACTAATTCCACTCATTACAGCAGGATATACGTGAAATACGTAGATAAACTTTTTACGGATAATTACGAAAAGTAAAGGGCCCCATTCAGCGAAAAGGGAATAATTAAAAATAAAATGCTTTTCAACTAACTTTTTACATTTTAAAGGTTTTGACTGCGTTAAAAAACAAAATGCCAACGGAGAGTTACGACATTGCAATCTGAGGTACGCATTTTATGACTTTGGCCTTCGATATGCAAACATATACCTATTCTATATTCCACATTCTAAATACATACAGGGTGTCCCAGGATTAAGTACGAATATTAAAGGAGTCGATTCTGTGGGTCAAAAGAAGACGTTTTTGTAGTATAACTTTTTTTCGAAAAACGCTTTCCATGGGGGCCCCATTATCCCCCTATTATCAGCTCCTATTATTCCCTATCATCTCGAAAACGATGAGTTATAGCGAAAAAACGTAGGAGACATTATCTCAATATTTTTCAACGCTGAATCTTGTGGTGCCGTCAAAAATCAATTTTTGTCGCTACGAGCATTAATTTTGGCCACTTGTAGGTTCGGTAACCCCCCGAAACCCCCCTCAAAATGAGCATTACCTTTTTTGGACGTCAAAAATGAAAAGAACGCTAAAAATTACTGCAAGTTACCGATTTTCATTAATATTGGTTGATAAACATTGCCGTAGTGTTAAAAAGACGATTTTTTCCCGCCAATTTCGGGGAGTCGTGGCGCCCAGGGAAAGCGTTTTTGAAAAAAAATTTATACCTTAAAAACGTCTTTTTTTTACCCAAAGAATCGACCAGTTTTGCACCAGTATTGTGAGCATAATACAGGATACTTACGAGTAGCTCCTTTCTTGATGAATTTATCAGCCATGGCCTCAACATTTTGGAAGGGGACTCTGTTTTGAGGGAAGTAAAGGGGAGCTGAGTAGTCAGCCTGTTTGGGGGTCCTTTCCGGGGTCCTGAAGTCGTAAGAGTGGATGATCCACTGGTCCACGGAAGGGTTCATGATAGGAATGTCGTAGTACACTGAAACAAACGAAATGAGCAGTGAAGAGTTTTCACACAAAAATGAGCATTGGAATAGCAATGCCTTACCTGACAATGAATTTTGACAAAACTGCAGTAAACACCTATTTCGCGCTTTGTCCTCCAAGCCCCTCAACGGAGATGTTGCATGTGGGAGGAATTTGCGATTTGACTGTTGATTCTTATGCAAAAGTTTGCGAGAAACACGTTGGTGCCACTGGTTTTCTTTGAAATCAACTCCCTTCCAAGCTCAAAAAAAGCTCTCAGGTTGGGGCCAAAATGGAGGGGATATCCCACGCTATCCTGAGAGACCACCTCTACATCAAGACAAACTCTGCATGCAAAGATATAGGGAGCAAAGACAGATATAGGGAGCAAATACATATTAGCAAGGTTGCCGTGTTTTCTGTTTTGGAGTCCCCAAATAAAGGGGCAGCCCTGTCAATGTATTGGCTCCCTATCTTTGCATGGAGAGTTTGTCTTGATGTAGAGGTGGACTCTCAGGATAGCGTGGGATATCCCCTCTATTTTGGCCTCAACTTGAGAGCTTTTTTTGAGCTTGGGAGTTGAATTCAGAGAAAACCCGTGGCACCATCGTGTTTCTCGCGAACTTTTACATAAGAATCACCAGTCAAATCGCAAAGTCCTCACTCATGCAACATCTCCATTCTGATTTCCCAAGCCCCTTTAAATCAAGAAATATCGATCAGTGTCAGGTATATTAGCTTCAAATAGAGTTATGATCTTGAATGGGCACAGTATGAACGTGTGCTTACAAGTGAGCGCAGAACAAATGTAGTGCAAAAGATTTCTTCGTATGAGAGACTGGCATAGGACAGGATGTACTAACAATGTATGCTATAAAATGTCCATCTACTTCCACCTTTTTATTTGTCTTTGGTGGAATAACAGCTGGATTGTATTCAGCGCGAGGGAATCTAAACTATTTTTGTGGAAATTTAGTTACTGATCAGTCTGAATGAGCTCAGTGTTTCTTTTTGAAATTTTGAATGTATTTCCTTCAGAGACCCATTTAGGTAATTCAAAATTTTGAATTTAAATTGGGGATGGCTTTGATCGACTCAGAGAGGAGCCAACGTCGGTTGGTTTTGTTAATAGAGGACAATTGTGATAATGTGATACTCTAGTGGTCAAACTCAAGCAACGTGGTTATAAAAACAAAAATACGACTATTCGTGTTTTTGTGTACATTGTTTAGCATAGCAGGGTGTCTGAAGGTGCTTTTTCGCGATCGGAGCCGCAACTCCGCCGAGTTGAAACGAAAGTTCAGAATGAAACAAGCTCCATTTGGTTCCTCTCCGTTATTTCAGTTCCGATCTTGAATAAAGCCAAGACGGTGCCAGCGCAGCGGCGAGTTGATTCCCTCCTGTGAAATGATTCCATTTGGTTCATAAAAGCATAGGAGGGAACTTGTCGTAATAAGTACAGGCTAAAATAAGTTCCAATAACGTATTTCAGTTGATGGAAAGTGAACCTCGGTAATTTCAGGCAATTTTTAAAAAAGAGAGCGGCCGGTGGTTAAGGGCCGACAAACCATAACTACATCCTCACAGATTCGAAAAATCAGGGGAAACTCATGTGATCGCTCATGCCCGCAGTGTATTTTGAAAATATGAAAACCTTGTATCTTGGGTCTTTTTAACACATAGAGGCCCATTTACTAAGTATTCATGTCGAGAATGCGAAAAACTCAATTATTACAAAATTGGTTAGTTACGTTTCTTTGGCTCCAAACAACAGATACATTATTATGCTTCAGCAAATATTGTGTCAATTTGTTTGACTATTGAATTTACTTTTAAACGCCGTCTAAAACCCTAGAATTGCAAGTCTGCGCATCCACTGCCCATTAACGCAATAGCGCCAACAGGTATTGCACTTTTAAGTGACACATAGAGCGTCCCTCGTTTTTCTTTGTTTACAACCGTTCGGTGGCTAATGAGTTACTGCATTCATAAAACTGATCAGCTGTCCAACAAGTTGTTTCAAGACTTCCTGATTGAGGAGCAAATTAGCAGTAGAAAGTGAATTGAACTTTAACGAGGATTGCGTAAGACTCGCAGAGACCTCTTCATCAATGATGCGAATTGACTAGGAAATGGTACAGTGGCGTGGCTTGTTTTGCGATATATCGATTGTTATGCCGTTTAAACCTGTGGAAAAGGATCGATAAACAGGGTGTTCACAGCGAACAACTTAATAATCGATTCTTTGCCATAGGTTTAAATGGCAGAACGATCGATATATTGCAATTCACGCCACGCCACTGAAATGGTACCTTCTGGAGATGACAATCGCGACTCAACCAGTGGCGTGGCGTGAATTGCGATATATCGATTGTTATGCCCTTTAAACCTACGGTAAAGAATCGATTATTAAGGTGTTTGCTGCGAACACCCTGTTTATCGATCCTTTTCAATAGTTTCAAATGAAATGACAATCGATATATCGCAAAGCACGCCACGCCACTGGACTCAACGAATGAACGTGCCGATTAGAAGTCGGATGTCACAGTTTCATAGCACCTATGCTGGCATGCACTCCGCATGCGAATATTCGTGATTGTAAAGGAGCAATGGCAGTCTTCACGATGGAAAAACAAATTATGAAGATTCAATGGCCGTTAAAGCTAACGCCACCCTCAGATAGTATCGAAATTACCAACTGTTACTTATGTATCTCTTTCAGTGCGAGACAAGAATAAGAAATGAGGTATTCAGATGGCGTCATCACCTTCACTCGGGCCATCGGTAAGACGATGGTTATCACTACAGATGTGCAATGTATTGGCGAATCGTGCTCGATCGCCCGAAAAAAAGAAGGAGGAAAGAACGAAGGAAATAAGAAGGAAATACGCTCATAATTGGTAATAATTCAAGACGAAATTGTCTCAAACTGCATATTAGACTCTTTAAAATTTCAATAATTCTGTTAGAGAAGTCTCCGGACTTCCCTTTGACCTGGGGGGGGGGGGGGTTTNCCCCCCCCCCCCGACCCCCTCGTTTGAAATGTCCAGATCCGAATCTCTAATATAATAAGTAGATAAGGAATTCGAAATCAGGAGGTGATACTCCCTGCTAACCTTATATATGCGCGCTGGTTTTAATAAATAAATTGATACTTAATTAAATTATTTGAAAAACGTGAAAAGCAAGTCGCTCACTGTGCTTTTTTGTTAAAAAATACTCTTCTGAGACTCTTGAAAAAATCGTCTACACTAACAAGGAGTCCCCAATTTTAGTGGGGTTTTTTGCAAGTATTCACATCGGACGAAATTTTCTTAAAAAGGTTTAAAAAATTACCACAGATGTTCCAAGACTCTTTTAATTTAAAATATTGTAGCTGCGCGTGTAAAAACTGAAGTAAATCTTCGCTGAGTTAATTTAGACTTTATACTTAGATTTTACCTTCTTTCAACATGGAAAATATCGAAGAAGGGCAACCGGTTACGTGAATTAGAGCAGTTTTTAAAGAAGTTGTATTTTTAAAACTGTAATAAACATTGCAACATTATAACATTGTCATTGCAGTGTTTTAACACTGTAATTCTAGTTGCGCGTGTAGGAGGCACTGCTTAATTTAATTAACGAAGAGGCTACGAGAAATTACGTGACGGAATTTTTCCGCATCATACTTTACGCTACTGTTGGGAACCTCTATTTTTGGATAATTTTAGAGACAACATACTTATGTACCATTAGTACCCGTATGCAGATTGGCATTTTTATGGGTGAGCCATAAATAGTGGTTTCGTGTTGCTAAATGTCGTTCACATCAGTTGGTGAAGTGCCTATTCTAAAGAAATGCAAACAACCTGCAAACAAAATATCATGTATTCTGGCCAGTTTTGGAATAGGTACACACACGTGCATCCATGGGCACGGACTGAAAGTCCAGGAGCAATGCCATGCAATAAGAGTCGCGGCATTGAGCTGCAGCAATGATGAGATCATTATCAACGGAAAATTCCAGTCTCTGAGCCAAAAAAAAAGAGGTGAGAACAAAGTGTATACAATCGAAGGCGATGCGCATGGACAAACCGGACTGAAGATAATGATTCAATGCCACTAATCCACATGTTGTCTACTGACATCGACTGGGACTTATTGAGGTTGAGACTGGTGACCTAATTGGAATTTTCTGATAAGGATGCATTTTATAATAAGTGATTATTATAAGTGTCCAAGACGTTGCGATCATTTGATAATGGATTTTCATGGTTGCGGCCTAAATAGTTTATGCATCGAATTTCGTTACAGAGAGGGGGAGGGGTTTCGGAGTGCCCCGCGAAAAAGGGAGGAGGGGGCCACTTTCTCCCTTCTATCGAAGAGGGAACCATTCCTGACGTGCAGGGGTTTAATTTGGGGCTCCAAAAGGTCCATTTAAGGTTTTTTCCAGGCATTTTCGGCTAAAATCTACTCTCCTAAAAAACTTTGACGGAAATACTCATACACACACGCACCGTACCTCATACGGTATAATCACCCGAATTTTGAAGATCGCTCACAATCAGTTTGATTTAATTTTAAGGAGGTTTAAGAGTGCCGGCGCCTGAAAAATGGGAACGAAAAAAAGTGCCAACTCAAGAAGGAGAAAATGATGACAGATAATTTATGGATGAATGTCGAAGAGTTTAAGAACGGTTAGTTACCTATACTCGTGGCTTTAAGATTAATACATTAAAGGGTTGATTATCGATGATTAAGGATTTTTTCTGATTTACCTGTGCTGTTGACATGAGGTAAGTTGGAGATGGATAGAAGGTGGCCTTTGGGTCTGAGGACTGCTTTCAGCTCACGAGCCAAGGCAGAGAACTGTTCACGGTGGGCTTCAGGGTTCTTGTCTCTGTCACCAGAGAAAATCTTCTTTGTTCCGTGCCAGAGAGAGCCTAGAAAATTTGAACATTTATTATTGATCATACGCAAGAGGAATGCATCAATATCATGTCGGCCTTTTAATTCATATCTATATTTTTTCACTTTAAATTTTATGAAATGATATCCATTTCTCCTATAGCCAGACAGATTTAATCCCCTCCATCACTGAGCCGGACAAATGTATTGATTCAGTTGTGAATGCATATCAATAAGTTTGCTTATTTTACTTAAATGACGTTTACTCAGAAGAGAAATAATTTACCGATAGAAAGATATAAATATGTAGGTACTTGGGTGTCGGTGGAATCACTACTCTTCAGGTATCATAAGTAACGATACGTATTACGTTCTTGCTGAAACCATTCATAGTATACTTTTACAGAAGTCATTTGAAGGAACGAATCGACGGTGAAACTAAGATTCGAAAGAAAACTGACAAATCAGCATTTTTGTCTAACATGGTTTAAAAATATTTTCACAGAGAAAAAAGTTTTATGCGCTTCGCGAGTTTTTTTTGCTTTTTTTTTTGTTTTTTTTCCCCTGGTAAAAATTGGCGATAAGAGCGGCGTTTCGAAATACCATAGGAATTCTTATAGCCGGCTAAAGAAGGCTACAGAAAATCATATAGCTGGCTGTAAAATGCGGAGAAAATTATACGGCCGGGCTATACGAAGCGATAAAAAATTATGCAGCCGGGCTTATAGTTCCTATCGCCGGGCTTTACACTTTATCGCCTGGCTGTTGCTTTTTCGCCATCGATTATAAAAGGCTATAAGAAATTGTGTAGAAATTCGTTTGCTTTGGAAATCATTAAATTTGATACGGAACCACCTTTATATTTACAAAACACACATTATATTTTCCTTTAGTACATATTTTGTTTCATCAATTAAAATGAGAATAATCCATACAGGATGTGCAAACATTTCAAAATCATGAGTTGAATAACGCTGCCTCCGCCAGATTAAATATTAGAGCCTAACACAAATAAGCGGAGCGGCGACGCACTGGCGCCTACAAACCTAACTGGGATACTTCACGCATTGCGCAACGCGTGAAGTATCCCTGTTAGGTTTGTAGGCGCCAATGCGTGTTTCGCGCTGGCTGCCCGCCTGCCACGGCGCTTGAAGCAACTATTTCTCACCAGAGGTATTGCACAGTATCATACGAAACTGAAGGCGCTCTAATATATTAGGAATGGCAGGCATCCATCAAAAGTACGGAGCTTTCCTCGCAAAATAAATCAAGATACTACCGCCCAAAAAGGAAGCAGTGGTCCAAAAACTCACTAAGTCCTAGCATCCGTAATTAGTAACGTTTAGCATACACTTTATCGCCTGGCTGTTGGTTAATCGCCATCGGCTGTAAAAGGCTATAAGAAATTGTGTAGCCGGCCATAGAAACTATTTGAAATTTTACAGCCGGCTGTAGGTCTATGGTATTTTGGAACACAGATTCTACTGCCAATTTTTACCAGGGTTTTGTACTTCAATTGGATTACATTTTGCAATAAGGAACCACTATCTCTGGTTCTCCCATAAAAGCACACATCTGCATAGGACGACCAACGGCATGTATGTTGTTTCTAAAATGGTGGTTCCTTATTGCGAAATGTAATCCAATTAGCCCTCAGGGGCTAATCCCATTCAATTCCTACCTACCTTCCCTACTGTCCTATTACACCTATTTTATAGTAATAATAGTATTATATAGAATTGTTCATTGTTCTTCATTAAAATTGATGTGATTGAAAGTCTTGAATTGAGAATCGATTATTTTCATTATGTTCACTTTTTTACAATTTAAGCCACAGGTGGGCACATTTATACATACTCTGTAAAATCGACTAAAATCATCATTGTAACTTCGCACATTATGACGTTTAAATATGTTGGCCGGTGCATGATCACTTTCTGATCAGCCATCGTCCCGTTATTTCTCCACAGTTGGATTGAAAACCACGCAGACATTCATATTTAAGGAAAATTCTCACCGAAAATTCCGCGCTCTTTGGGTTCCTTGTCGGGAGGGAATTCCCATGCCAAATCAACGCCGTCGAAACCGTAGTCATCTACCTTCTTTGCGACTGAGTTCGCGAACTTAGTTCTCCTTTCCGGAGTCTCCAGCTGAAACACGCACATTCAGCAAAACTTTCAGAAAAATTGCTGGGTCTAGTGATTTTTTTAAAAATACAGTGCACTACAGCTCTGCCGTGCTAAGGAAAAACGCCGTATGAACATTCGAGAGTTGCCAAATTTCCTTCGATAAAATGTTTATTATTTAGGAAAGTTATGAATATTTTTCCTTTAAATTTTCAGAATCTTTAGACAAAATTGGGAACTAAATTATCTGAAAAATTGGGAGGAAAATATGAATTAATTGTCCAGGAAATTCACGTTTTATCAAACGAAATTTGGCAACGCCTGAAGGCTCATACGGCGTTTTTTCCTTAGAACGGCAGTACAGCTGTCATCAATCATCTGTATAGTCAAAAATAGTTCATAACAGTGTAATATTGCGACAATTTTACAAACGAACTTCTCATATCCTAAGAATGGAGACAATTCCTTGAAAACTGATACGAAGATTCATTACAACTTTATTACTTTCATTTGTGTTACTAAGCGTGCACCAATATTTCAACGAAGATGTTTCTCCGGATTATCCCTGAACATTTATTTTTAATGTTTTGTCATGGGCGGATCCAAGTACGTCGAACGAATGGAGGGCGTCAGGGGGGGTCCACGGACCTTCATTGGCGGATCCAATAAATTGGCAACATTGTTTCCTCCATTTATAGCTCACGGATATGCATCGATTCTTGGAGGGGCTAGGTGCTCCGACAAGAATCGATTATTTAACATAGGTTTAAATGGAGGGAGTCCGGTGCTACCAATAACAGCTGGATCCGCCTCTACGGGCCTACCCCAGGATTTTTTTGAATTTTTGAGGCATCTGATATGCAGTTGGTGTTAATTTCGTCATGGATAATCACCAAATGTGAGCGTCTTTCATTCTTCTTTCCTCCGTTCTTTCCTTCTTNGATTCATTACAACTTTATTACTTTCATTTGTGTTACTAAGCGTGCACCAATATTTCAACGAAGATGTTTCTCCGGATTATCCCTGAACATTTATTTTTAATGTTTTGTCATGGGCGGATCCAAGTACGTCGAACGAATGGAGGGCGTCAGGGGGGGTCCACGGACCTTCATTGGCGGATCCAATAAATTGGCAACATTGTTTCCTCCATTTATAGCTCACGGATATGCATCGATTCTTGGAGGGGCTAGGTGCTCCGACAAGAATCGATTATTTAACATAGGTTTAAATGGAGGGAGTCCGGTGCTACCAAACAGTGGCGTGGCGTGCTTTGCGATATATCGATTGATACGCCACTCAAACCTGTGAAAAAAGATCGATTATCAGGGTGTTCGCAGCGAACACCTTAGTAATCGATTCTTTACCATAGCTTCAAATGGCAAGATATCAATAATCGATTATTCATGCCACGCCACTGCAAACAGCTGGATCCGCCTCTACGGGCCTACCCCAGGATTTTTTTGAATTTTTGAGGCATCTGATATGCAGTTGGTATTAATTTCATCATGAATAATCACCAAATGTGAGCGTCTTTCATTCTTCTCTCCTCCGTTCTTTCCTTCTTTCTTCCTTCTTTTTTTTGGGGGCGAACGGGGTGGGTTCGTACTCCCCCCACGCCCCCCGGATCCGCCTATGGGTTTTGTCCATGCAGTCTCTTCAACATTATTGAGTCTTGCAGGTCAAGGACCCATATCATTCTGAGAAAAACAACTTTTATTTTGCCGAGACAAAATCACCCTGCCCTGCATACAGTATCAACAATCAATATACTCCCATGCTTCACTTCCGAGAACTTTCTAATCAATATCTACTGATTCTATTCATTTTTTCCTTGCCTGCCCTTCATCACGACCTGACCGTATATGATCATATCTGCTTGGGTGCTAATTTCTCTGAACCAGTGATGAACTCATTCAACTGAGAGATTATACGTGAGCAAAGATGGGGTTTTTTCACCTAATTTGATAAGATAGAATAGAACCGTAGGAAGGGTTATATTTTTCAGAAATAACATCAGCATTTTCATCAGATGGACCGTGGGATACTTAAGAATATTAAAATTCAGAACTCATTCGAAAACGTGTATGTAAAATCTTTCAAAAACCAACTGAAACAACTGGGAAAAACAGAAGAGTTCGCGAGAGATTTTAATTTTCAATCAACGTGATACAACAGAGTACGTTCACTCGGAGTTTTTAGTCGTTACTTATAAGCAGAGGCGTAGGAAGGGGGGACGGAGGCCTGCCCCCCCCCCCTAGAATTGGAAATAGTATCATCTGGCCCCCCCAGAAACTCTGGATGTTGCAAAAACACCTTCTTCAACGGTAAGTCTCTGTCGCCGTGGCGCGTGAGACGATGCCTATACATAGAAAAACCTGTTGAATGCAAGAATTTCAAAGTATTTTAACCTTAAAATGCATGAAACTGGGTGATTTTTAGGTAGAAATTGAAGGAAGATTAACGCCACAACTGCCTCGAGATGCGCTCAAGTAGAGTTAAAATTTCGAAAATTTTCCGGAACCTTAAAATGCATAAAACTGGGCGATTTTTAGGTAGAAATTGAAGGAAGATTAACGCCACAACTGCCTCGAGATGCGCTCAAGTAGAGTTCAAATTTCGAAAATTTTCCGGAACCTTAAAATGCATAAAACTGGGCGATTTTTAGGTAGAAATTGAAGGAAGATTAACGCCACAACTGCCTCGAGATGCGCTCAAGTAGAGTTAAAATTTCAAAAATTTTCCGGGGGAGGCCCCCCGGACCCCCCGGGCCCCCGGTGGTGGGGGGCCAGCCCCCCCAGCAAAATGACCTAGCTACGCCTATGTCAAAAAGTTAGGCTATGTCTCCTCTTACCAGAGTTAAGTATTTGTCAACGTCTTCCTTGTCGGCCCATCCACCGATGGACAAGAGAACCTTGAGGTTGGGGCTGGTCTTCTTCAAGGCGGTCACGGCCCTGATGTGAACTTTGCCCTTGTCAGAGTCCGACTTGCCCAACGTGTCGATGTCATTTTCGGAGCCTATTCCGTACCACCCCCAGATGATCTGGTTGCAGTAGGCCAAAGCTGGCTTCAGCTCTTCCGAGGTCACTTTTGCACGACCTTCAAACACACCAGAAAATAAAAAATGGTATACATTTTATTTTATTTTATTTTAAAATTCTCGTACATAAAAGCTGCAATGGACCACTAGACAGGGTACGAATTAAAGGATTCTAATACTAGTTTCTTAACCAAAATTTCACGTAGAACACGATTCGCGCAACAAAAGTTGCTGAAACCAACTCTTAACGAAGATATTAACCTTTTTATTTCATAATTGGTTACGAGGAATTTGAACTGCCCGTTCGCAAGAAACTCAAAGCTCTACGTGAGTCAAATCGTGCACTACAATGGTTTCAGCAAGCCTCTCAATCGAGCAATGTTCATTTCCCACCATGTGTTGTTCAAACTATAAGCAATTTGCTATAGCTGAGCCAAAGCGTCAAGACTGAGGTTGCCAAATTTTTTTATCGCTGAGACGTTCATGATAACGTTTAGCGCGGGATGTGAATCACGTAGAGCGTTGAGTTTTCATGAGCGGGTGGTTTGAATTCACGCATCAATAATCATTAAATATCTTCGTAAGGAGTAAATTTTGGTAATTTTTGTTGTGCGTGTCGTGTTTTACGTGAAATTTTGGTTAAGAAACATGTATCAGAATGCTGAAATTCGTACTTTGTCTTGTGGTCCATTACAGCCATAATACAGGTCAATAACACATGAAAATATTACAATAACGACAAAACAACAAATTAGCGTGAAGCATAATCTTTCAGAAGCAGCTCATCAATAGTAGTGATGAGCTGCTTCTGAAATTTATAGTATTGATTCATTGATGATAATAGTATTGATGATAATAGTATTGATTCAATACTATAAAAAGCTTCTCGAAGTAGGAGCTGTTTTAGCTCCAACATGAATGATGCGGAACCTGTGCCCCTGAACAGAAGTTTTAGTCTTAGTAGCAGCGATTTGAAAAATTGAATAGATGCTTTGATATTGCTTTCGCATCTATTCGATTTTGAAAATGAGGCTCCAGAAATTAAGGACAATTGGATCGCATCTAGCAAAAAGGGATCAGCGGGATTACAGAGTTTCCAAAATCGTGCAATTTCTCCTTTTCTTTGAAAAATACCTAATTTGTGTACAATATTAATATTTACACAATTACTTCCCTTCAAGAGAGGACCTTTGAGAGGACCGAGTTTTGTGGCTGTTAGGCATTGCAGAGTGCCGGATAGCGCTGTGAGAGCAAATCTTATGTACATGTATGTATTTCTCTTCAAAAGTAACGATTTTTGGCTGGGAAACAAGAACTATTTGCTATTCTGGGAGATTTTTTTAGATAATTACGAAGAAACAACCTATTTGTGACATGTAATCGAGTTGATTCGTTTTCGCGAAATGCAATCCAATTGATGAACGTTATGTAAGAGAGTCAATGTTATTTATGCGCGTAGCTATAAAAATTTGCCGTAGAAAAGAGAATTTGACTAACTGGACTACATTTTACAATGAGGAAAGCGCTTATATCTGAATAGGGAAGTTGATGATAAGTAATTATGCTGTCTCCTAAAGGAGCCAGAAATAGCGATTCCTCATCATTGCAAAATGTCCAAATATAAAAAACGCTATCGTGATAAGCCTCAAGCTTCTTCAAACCTTAGGTATCCGATATTTTTAATATTTCTCTTAAAATAGGCAAATTTTCAGATTCCCCCCCCCCTTTTCTTTTAAGTATACAACTGTCGTCGTCTCGTCGTGAATGCCTCCAAACCCTTAATATGCAAAATTAGTCAAATGATCGGGAGAGGACTGAATCGCTCAATTAAAAATTGTCCAAAACATTTTTCATTGCAGAAATATATTGGCTCGGAGGCTTATCAATTGATTATACCCCCCCCCCCCCNATAAAAAAAAACAGCCTCTCATAAGGTCGACATAAGTGACTTCCGTTCAGTTAGTCATGGCAAACTTTTACATACCTTATCATTTCAAGGTGGAGAAATGGTGCTGGGTCCACACCATTTCGCGGAGAAATCAAAGCCGAGAAATTCCACAAATTACAATTAGAGTCAAAAAATTTTGTTGCATACAGTTTCAGGCCATTTTTTAGTATTTTTTCTCGCTTATTTTTTCATTTCTAATCTATCTCTACATACATGTAGTGAAAATATAGTGTTCTGAATTAAACGAATGAATGTTCGAATTTTTTATACATTCAAACTCTTGGGTCGTCTTAATAATTAACTTACGTTATCTCCATAGTTTTCGATTGACTATATTTCCCAGACAAGAAAAGTGGGAATGTTGGTAGAGTTGAATGTTTCCTATAGTCCGTCTATGATATTCTTAACAACATGCATTAAAATTATTTTAAAATCAGCGAGAACTGTCGGCTGGAAGTAGGTCTTTCCCCGCTCCCCTCCTCTCTATACCAGTGGCGTGGCGTAAATTGCGATATATCGATTGTTGTGCCATTTAAACCCATGGTAAAGAATCGATTATTAAGGTGTTTGCTGCGAACACCCCGTTTATCGATCCTTTTCCATAGGTTTAAATGGCCGATCAGTCGATATATCGCAAAGCACGCCACGCCACTGTTCTATACCCTAGAATTAAATTGTTTTCGAACTGAATAACTCAGTACACTGATTCTTAAATTCAGGGACCCAAGCGTCTACCTCTGCGAGTAGTGAGCACCTTTTTAGCAGCATTCTAAGAGAAAAACTGCACTTATGATGGTTCACTTTTAAATAAAGGCGCACCCAGAGCTTTAAAATGTTGACTTTAAATGCTTGAACTTTGCAGCCTCATCGCACTTGACGTCCTCGTCTCAAACAAAACACACCGGATTGCCCACACCTTGAGACTTTAAATTACTTATTTAGTGGATTTGATACTTTGATCTCCGAGAATGAATTATATTTTGTAGGTCAGACGGCATGTTCCTAACAACAGTGCATTATTCTGTGACTGGCTTTTCCTTACCCGTCATTTAGAGAGGAATAATTTTGAATATTTAAATTAAAATCGTATGAAGTTTGAATATTATAGGCTTAAACCCAAGTGTCAACATTGATAATACCAATTACTACCCAAGCGGGATTCATTTGCTGTTATTGAAATTCATCCGATCAGTCCAATAATTTCGCACCAAACGGTTTTGAGCTGAGATTTAGCTTCTGTATGAAGATTAATAGGACTACATTTTGCGATTCGGAACTATAATTTCTGGCTCAGTTGAGAAACAACGTACATTATACAACATTAAATTCCCTATACACCTAAGTGTTTTTACAGATGAACCAGAAATTATAGTTCCGAATTGTAAAATGTAGTCCAATTAAACTGACTAGGTATCTAGGAAAACCCGGGATTTTCTGGTGACATGCGTCGATCTAGCGGTTTAACTACTCTCAGGTCTACGCTCAAAATCTGCAAAAACTGATCTGAACTGATGCTCCGTCTGGACCCAAGCAGTGCAGTGCATCGCAAAATGCAACATTTGATGCAACAAAGTTTCAATGTTTTGACCATGAAATTGCAGAATGTCACTTTTTTTGGTCGATAAATGTCGATTTTAAACTTAATCAGTATAGGTGATCAGAATGCATGGATAATAAAAAAAGACAATTTGCGATTAAAAAAAGAAAAGAAAGAAAAAAAGAGGTACACCTTACTACAATTTTATTGCAATACCTTTTAATAAAAGGAGCCCATTTTAATTAGTGAAGAGACAACACACACATGTACCCACAATTTCGATACTCAATAGAAATAATTACCATGTAATTGAGGACTTTTTCTGTAAAAAAGCGTATGAGGCTTGCAGTGTTGTTAAGATTTTTCAATGTTTTATGGCGTTTGCGGCGGAAAAAATTCTTTCACAGTCGACTTAATTCCTTGCAATTAATAGTGCGATAAAACCAAGATCTAATTCAGGAAAAAATGCATAGCACAACTGTCGGAGTCGGATAAGTTATTTACAACTGTAAAACTACGTTGCACAGTTTTAGCAGCATTGGAAGTCTCATATACGCCCTTTTACCGGAAAGTGAGGGAATTTGCAGGTGTCTTAAATTTGATGAGTCTTAAATTTGATGAATTTCGTGTTTAAGTGGAAACCACTGGGCGAATTGAACACGATGATACCCTCGGTTCATGAACTGAACAATTATTGGAGAAGATACAACAAAATGATCTAATCTGCTACGTGTGATCAAATGGGAAATGCCGCCAGATGACGTCACTAGGCGGTGCATTTTCTCACTTTTACATCCATTTTTATACTATTTTCCATATCAGAAAAAAAATCATAAAAAATACTGTGAAATCAGCTCTTTGAAGACTTTCAGATGAAGCGATAAAAATTCTGCATGCAAAATTCCCCATTGCAATTAATCACGACCTGTGCAACTCGGGTACAATGAAGACTCCTTGTTTGGACCCTACGTGCCTCACTTATTGAAGTTTGTGCGATTCCATTTTGGGCTATAGAAAAAATTATCATTTACCGTCTCTGAAGTAGGAGTCGCCATCGTAGTAGCACACAACTTTGGCGGCCTCGATTTTGGCGGCGACCAAAGCGGCCAGAACACACAACGATAACTTGAACCACATTTTCACTTATTGCTCGACTGCTGAAGAGCAACTGACGGTGCCGGCAAATTTCAAGACCTACCGGTGTTCGGCGACACCAATCAACGTTGTCTGTTCAAGCGGAAAAAAGTTAAGTTCCTGCACCAATATGACGCAAACTTTCGCATCTCGGCAACGGGCGAGCTTTGGGTAGGAGATGCGATTGGGTCAGCCAACGCGGTTTGAAAATCGCCACGGAAACTACTGACTTTCCCGAATCCAAACAATGTATTTTCACACAATCTGGCAACAAAGCGTTGATCGGTTGATCCGATGATCAATGAGTCCGTCCTCACCGTATCGTCTTGGGCTCCTGGTGACCTCGACCCCCTGATACGACAAACGTCGAGGTCATCGCGAAACCTGATTTCTGGATGTTTATTTCGACTTATTACACTAACGCCAACAAACAGGTCTCCGAATAAATATACCTAAGAGGTGATGCAACGCTAAATATAGTGGCGAAGAACACTCAAAAAAAATTCTCGACGTTTTTACCAAGGTCCGTTGGGACCTTTACCATCTCACTTTTTTTTACCAATTATTGGTAATTTTGCCAAGACAGACTGGTAAGCTTACCTAAAAACCTGTATTTTTACTGCTTTTTTCAGGTAAGAATACCACTTTTATTGGTAATCAATTCCCGGTAACTTTGCCGTTTTATCTCGGTAATTTTACTACAGTCGATAAAAAATGTTGGCGTTTTTACCAAGGTCCAGTAAAATTACCGAGAAAGTTCATTAATTTTACTGAGATTCTCGGTAAAATTACCAATTCCATAAATGGTAAGTTTACCAAGAAAAAACTGGGATCAAATAGAACCCTGAATTCTTGGAAATTTTACCCTTTTCTTAGTAAATACACCGAGATTTTTTTTTCAGTGAATAATCGTTCGACATCATTGGGGAAAAGTGATCCAACACTGCCGTGCTGAGGAAGAACGCCGCGTGAACATGCGAGAGTTGCCAAATTTCCTTTGATGAAACGTTTATTTTTGAGGGAAGTTATTAATGTTTCCCCTTGAAATTTTCAGGGACTTTAGACGGAATTGCGAACAAAATTATCTGAAAAATTGGAAAGAAAATATTTGAAAGTTTACCAGGAAATTCGTTTCTCATCGAAGGTAATTTGGCAACGTCTAGTGGATCATACGGCTCTTCTTTAGCACGGCAGAACAATGTGTGGTTTGATCCGGAAAAAAATCTGTGTCGATATGGAAGTCAAGTCTTTGGCAAACTCGCAAATTAGACATTCTGAAGCATTATATGAGCCAAAGTTTTTGAGAAAGCACCCCCCCTGGTAAAAAATTGGCGATACGAGCTGTGTTTCAAAATACCATAGGAGTTCTTATAGCCGACCGAAGAAGACGATAGAAAATCACATAGCTGACTGTAGAAAGTGGAAAAAATCATACGGCCGGGCTACACGAAGCCATAAAAAATTATACAGCCGGGCTATACTTCCTATCGCCGGGCTTTTCACTTTATCGCCTGACTGTTGCGCTTTTTTGCCATCGGCTATGAAAGGCTATAAGAAATTGTGTAGAAATTCATGTGCTTTGTAAATCCTCAAGTTTGTACGGAATCACCTTAATATTTACAAAACGCACATTATATTTTCCTTTACTACCTACATATTTTTTTTCATCAATTAAAATGAGAATAATCCATACATATACAGAGTGTCCAAACATTTCAAAGTCATGAGTTGAAAAACGCTGACTCCACGAGATTAAATATTAGAGCCTAACACAAAGCGGAGCGGCGGCGCACTAGCGCCTACAAACCTAACAGGGATACTTCACGCATTGCGCAATGCGTGAAGTATCCCTGTTAGGTTTGTAGGCGCCAATGCGCGTTTCGCGCTGGCTGTCCGCCCGCCGCGCCGCGCCGCAGCGTACCACGGCGCTTGAAGCAACTATTTCACACCAGAGGTATTGCACAGTACCATACGATATTTAATTTGAATTACCATATTGAAGGTGCTCCAACATATTAGGAATGGCAGGCATCCTTCAAAAGTACGGAGCTTTCTTCGCAAAATAAATCAAGATACTACGGCCCAAAAAGAGAGCAGTATTTCAAAAACTCACTAAGTCCTAGCATCCGTATTTAGTAACGTTTAGCATACACTTATCGCACTTATACACTTATAAACACTATCGCCTGGCTGCTGCTTAGTCGCCATCGGCTATAAAAGGCTATAAGAAATTGTGTAGCCGGCTATAGAAGCTATCGGAAATCTTACAGCCGGCTGTAGGTCCACTGTATTTTGGAACACAGATTCTATCGCCAATTTTTACCAGGGCCTGCATCGATCAAGTTATTGCGCTTGAAAAATCGCTTGTTGAATAGTTTTATGGTTGGAAACTGAGTACTCGAAATCGCAGGAAAAATTTTTACTCGCACAGAAAAGGGCAGTTCTTTCCCTTCGACTTAAGGTGGTCTGAACAAAGTGTTTGGTAATCGATTCGCGCCTGTTTATGTTCTTTGCATTCCGCGAAAGAGGAACTAACCTTCTAGGGGCCTCTTGTAAAATACTTGAGGCAAAATTTCGGATTTTTCGACCCCCTTTTCCCTTGTAACGCTTTTGTGACATATGTCCCTTCAACATGGAGAGACAAAATGGCGTAATGCTCTTTTCGACCCCTCCTCCTTAGCGTTACGCATTTTATGGACGATCCTTTATTAGAGCACTGACTGAAAATGGAAATAAATGACACAGATCGACGGTGAAACTATTGGACGTATTTCTGTCAAACGAAAGTATGTACATTATGGCGTGAGCCCTGTTATGCATATATTCTTATGGGTCTCACGGCGCATGTCAAAATGCACATGGTTCCGTTTGGCAGAAATACGTCATACGTCTATTAGATTACATATCGACGGTGAAACTACCAAACCACGTATCTCGTTTGCGGTGTTTAAAAATCTACGCTCGCATTTTATTTTTTTGAGGTAGACCAAATCAATATCATTCCTTGTAATTTTCACAGAATTTTCTCCGCACGAAGAGGAAAAATCACAGAAATTTTCAAGACTTGACGTATAAGTAGTTTTTCATTTAAAAAATAAAGTATGACAGGAAGTCTGCGACGTCGCAAACCGAGATACGTGGTTTGGTAGTTTCACCGTCGATATCTCGTTTGCGGGGTTTCAAAATCCTCGCCCCTATTTCATTTCTTTGAAGGATAACGATTCAATATCATTCTTTATAGTTTTCACGAAGTTTTATTTCGCACCGTGAAAGAATATCTTGTAAGTTTTTAAGAATTGACGCTGAGTATTTTTAATAAAATATACCTAATCGACATTTTTGAAAAACAGTAAAAGCTGTATTAAAACTTTTAAAACTTTTTTGAAAAACTCACGCTTGTACTAATTTGTTAACTTTTAAAACTTTTTTGAAAAACTCACGCTTTCACTGATTTGTTATTTTTCGGACGCGTTTCGGCAGCTACCCGGGCCACCATCATCAGCTGACTGTACTGTTAAACAAATTAGTGAAAGCGTGAGTTTTTCAAAAAAGTTTTAAAAGTTTTGACGCTGATTGTGAGTAGTTTTCCATTTGAAAAATAAAGGATGACAGGAAGTCTGCAACAACGTCCCAAACCGAGATACGTGAGAATGTGAGAATTGTTTTGTGAAAATGCCTAATTGGTATTCATAAATAAGAGCATAGCTTCACTGACATACGTTTGGTAGAGCAATTATTAGAAAATCAACAGCTTGCGAATTTCTCTCTTCGATAAGTAAATGCTTTTCCTCGATAAATTGCATAACAATGATGATACATCTTTCACCAATGAAAGTTTTGCATCAAATTGGAGATAACACAGCAGTTCCTAGACATGGAAAATGCGACTCATCTTGTTATGCATAATAATGATGCCCTGTAATCTCATATCTATGTCTGCACTGCTAATTAGCTGTGAAAAATTCAACTCGGAAAACTTTATATCTTTGGCAGCTCAGTTTTTGAAAGGCCCGTTTTATGTTACAGTTGAATGCAGTATATCGACCAGTGGCGTGGCGTAAATTGCGATGTATTGATTGTTTTGCCATTTAAACTTATGGTAAAGAATCGATTATTAAGGTGTTCGCTGCGAACACCCTGTTTATCGATCCTTTTCCATGGGATTAAATGGCATAACAATCGATATATCGCAAAGCACGCCACGCCACTGATATCGACGGTGTAAGTTCGCAAGCACACATATCTCGGTTTGCAACGTCGCAGACTTCCTGCCATACTTTATATCTTTTAAATGAAAAACTACTCAACGGCAAGTCTGAAAAATTGCCGTGATTTTTCCTCTCAATGCCAAAATAATTCGCTGCAAAAATTTCAATGAACGATGTCGACTTGTTCTTCTTTAAATAATTAAAATAGGAGGGAAGATTTTCAAACACTGCAAACGAGATACGTGCTTGCGGACTTACGCCGTCCATATGTATATCAAGACACAAAAGGGCAGCTTCAATTATATGTAACGTTTCCACCTACTTGTGCTAAAACTGCCGTGCTATGGAAGAACACCGTATGAACATTCGAGAGTTGCAAAATTTCCCTCAGTAAAATATTCATTTTTGAAGAAAGTTATGAATAATTTTCCTCGAAATTTTTCAGAACTTTAGGTGAAATTGCGAACAAAATTATCTGAAAAATGGAGCGAAAATATTCATAAGTTTTCAAAAAAAAAATCGTTTTTTATCAAAGGAAATTTGGCATAGCTGAAGGTCCATACGGCGTTTATCCTTAGCACGGCAGTATAGGTCTGTCCAGTAAAAAAAGCTCTCTCAACCCTTAGATGCCCACACTGGATCAAATTGACCCGAAGGTTATTTGTCGCGGTACAGCAGCCGAGCTTTAGGAATAGGTCGTCACCTTCCAGGCAAAGTATCACAAGCGCCATGCGACGTTTGAAAATTTCCGCCGCCATTTTATTTTTTTACAGAGAAATTGTTCAACGAAGCTGTCCGAAAATTTCACTGAATTTTCTTTGTGCTGCCGATAAAAGTTAGTGAAATTTCCAAACAGATTCAACCAACAATTTCTCAGTAAAGAAATAAAATGGCGGCGGAAATTTTTGCGCATGGCGCTTGTGATACTTTGCCTGGAAGGTGACGAGGTATAGGCCTACAAATACATCCTACAAAAAAAGAATCAGACGTCAACTTGAAAAAAAAAGAAGAAATAAATTGAGTGTCAACATAGCGGAAGATGGGAGAGACATATTTCCGCCTTGCTTTTTAACTTTGTCTCGAATGTGCGCGACATCTCATCGGCAACACAGAGGCGCCTTCAATTTGGGTGATGCAACGCGGACATCCATCAAGCACGAATAGTTGTATCTCTGCGCCGTCATTTCAAGGCGGATAAAGAATGGTGGTCGCATTTCGATTTTGGCTGCCATCTTGAAGCGTTGTGACGTCAGGAGGGTACAGGTTTTGCCGTGCAATCCGAGGATTCCGAGGTTGAGTCGGCTCCCTCGGCCTCGGCCAGCCAATGTAGCCGATGTACAGAGACAAGAGACCCTCCACTAGTATTTTGGCCATGGTGGAAGCTTTTACTTTCGGGACTTCAGCATTCTACTGTTGACTTACCTACATGGTTGATGTTCAACAACGTGTTGGCAGTTTCGTTTTGCAAACAAGCCGAAAATGGCCGACGTTTGGGAAAGTTGTTTGGCTCATGACGTCATCCGAAGCTCATCATCGACCATGTAGGTAAGTCAACAGCTGAAACTAGGATGATGACTGTTGCTCCCTAATAATTGTCCATAAGGAATTGTTGAAACCCCGAAAGTAAAAGCTTCCACTTGTCGCTAGGAGGCCAGTGGAGGGTCTCTTGTCTCTGCCGATGTACCCGATGCGATACCGTGTGACGTCCAGAGGGTACGAAATGCGACCACCATTCTTTATCCGCCTTGAATTCCTATGGTATTTTGAAACGCAGCTCTTATCGCCAATTTTTACCAGGGCCCTATGCCCATTGCAACCATCCGCTTCCTCCAATAGAGTCCCTCCCGCACCCTTTTTGTCTTCTTTGTCTATAGATTTGTCTATCAATTTCAATTATCAGTATCTGCAGGCACGGCGCGCGGCGCGGCGTGCAATACGCGGTCATCGCACGACTCATGTCCCTTATCAAACGCACGTAAACTGTCTTGGGGAGATTTCAATTAGTGATAACATCGATGATCATCTCTTCTCTGCCGTGCTGAGGGAAAACGCCGTATAAAACTTCAAGCGTTGCCAAATTTCCTTTGATGAAACGTGGATTTCCCGGCAAATTCATGAATATTTTCCTCCTCATTTTTGAGGTAATTTTGTTCGCAATTTCACCCATAGTTCCTTAAAATTTCAAGGGGAAACGTTCATTACTTTCCTCAAAAATAAACATTTTATCGAAGGAAATTTGGCAACTCGCAAATGTGTATACGGCGTTCTTCCTCAGCAAGGCAGTACTCAAAGGAGGCTACTTGCCGAACCTATCACAACTGAAATACAGTTCGTCTTCGCTGGCCTAGCCTGATTAGTATTGCGCGGGATACCTACGGAACGGTAGCCCTGAAATGAGGAAAATCGAATCGGTTTCTGTTAGACGAGCGCAGCGCAGAGAGCCTTGGCTTTTTGTCAAAATTATTTGTTAGCTATCTATCGTTTTAGTTGTTTAAAATGTATATCTGTTGTTTTTTATATTCCACTTGTGTGTTTTTACTTCGTTTTTAAATTAAATATACTTCTAATCACATTCAAGAATCTGGTGCATGTTAACAAGGTAAGTGGCTCTAACATAAATTCCAAAACAGTAGCATCAATGCTTAAGATAAGTGCCTCGTTGAGAGCCATGTCTCGTCCTGTCTCTCCTGCAAGTTTTCATCATGAATAGCCCAGAAACTGATATCACTTAAATAAAATTTTCTATCCAGACATTTGGGGGGGGGGGGGGTTAGGGGGAT